AGCGATTTCCATAACTGATGTCTAGCCTGAGGCTTGTGTTTACTGTTCCGGATTATCAGGATGGGTGGATTGCCGAGGAATTGTACATGACAGTACTAGTATATCCTGTACTGCCTAAATGATGCAGGTTCTGTAGAAGTGCTGATGTTTGTAAAGAGGCAATGATTAGTTTGACCTACCACCCAAAATTCCTCGACTGCCAAGACCTTTAGCTTCATAAGTTGTTGCGAGCTTTACTCATCTCGCATATCACTTCATCTCTCCCTTCATTTGCGCCGCCCTTTTATCTATATGGAGAGCCAACACATATTGAGCACTGGGTCACCCACATGTAAAATCCAACAGCGACTGCTTTTTGATGGGCAAGAGGGACGTCTGCAACAGTGAACATAGTCGACGAGTTGGGAGTAGAGATTGAATCAACTGTGCTGTAGTGTAATAAGTGCGCAGACGGCGAAGTTGTAAAACATCTATGACAGGTGTGCTGTCAGCTGGGGGACGTACCGTACCTGGAGTCTTGACTGAGGCTATTCCATAACAGTATACCACAGCGTCTGCTCGCGGCACTGAACGGGCACTATTATCACTTTGTTCTGACAGATGAATACGGCAGCCTGAGCCATCCGACGCACCTCGCGAGTCAGATCATAGTATCCATTTCGCCGCGTGTTTCTCTTCAAGTTTATAATGCATCCGCAACATTAAAGTCAAATCCTAAATCTGATGCAGTGAGTTGAGTCTTCGAAGCCTCCAACCTTCAATGTACTAATCGCGGTGTTATAAAATCACCGGTGAATATTTGAATCTTGAGCTTGAGTGAGTGATTCAGTACTAGTATACTTGTAAATCGGCTCTGCCGGGTAATGTCACTAGCTTGCCGGAATATCCCGGCACCGGACATCCAGCTGAGCGGTGGCGTTGTTCACTAGCACTTACGGACAACGTCGAGTTCGTCGTACCACTTCGCACATCCTCACTCACACCTATAACAAGTCCTCTTTACATAATTATATTTCATGGGCACCTGGGTCTCAAGTTAGGCAACAGAACTACAGCCGTTCCTATCACTCCTCCGCCAACCCAGGGCACTAGCTCAGGTTCAGTCTCTTATCCTGCTCATTCGTTAAGGCCTCCTGCTACGGGCAGCGAAAACACTACTTCTGCTGAGCAATCATCCCAAGCTGGATCATCTCGATTCTCAACAGACCACACAGCAATCAGTCGCACTCGGTGCGCACCATGCTGCAAGCCAGCAAAATTAGCCATCCTCCACGCATGGATCTCAAACGGCAGCACTTAATTCAGCGCCTCGGATCACGCAGTCTTCAGCAGAGCATTCATCAGCAGCTTGGCCAGTTCCTGCTCAAGACCAGGCTAATCTTGCACAAGCAGATGAGATCGCTGCTCTGAGGGCACGCATTGCTGAGCTTGAGCGCGGGATGCTCATGGCAACCATCTACCGACCGAGTGCCTCCCTAAATCAAGCTTTGGTAGCGGACCCCGCAGCTGTTGACTGAGTTTGAGCAAGTCTGGCCAATGCTAAGGAACAGCTTAAATAACGTACCTTGCCTCCTCCCTCTGTGCCCAGGCCATAAAGTTGGCACCTCAAGTTTATGTAAGTTTTTCATCGTTACAGTCTCCGTTTTGGTTTTTCGGGCGTCTTGCGCATACTGCACTTGTTTGTGGTATCTACTTTTGGTAGTCACTTGCCTCGTCATACCGAGTCATTCGCGCTTTCTACCGGCAAAAATTGCGTGGTATTGCTATCATTATTTCTGGGCTATCTTGTAACTTTCAAACCCTAGCTTGCTCCGTCGCAGTTATACTCACGCAGTGCTCCAAAAATTGAATTGTCATGTTGACAAGTGAGCAAACTAACGACATGGCATAAGAGACAAAATAATCAGAAAAATAAGGCTCGCGTGGAGGTTCCGCACAATTGACTGCCGGACTAATGTTGCCAGGACCACTGGCAGCAAGTGGCACTGCTCGAAAGGTTATTAACTTGAGGGTAAAACCCGTTCATTCAAATGGACATAATGGTCTCGTCTCCTTTCGTCTAGACGTGATAGGTAAGTAATGAAATGCTAAGCGCTGCTCTTCTCGTCCACTTCACGACATGATATTTGTGATTTGTGATCCGTAGCCTCATCCCCACTAGCGTCATCGGTGTCCTCGAAATGAGAACCGTGTTTTCTAGAGGAATGTAAGCATTTGTCTGTCCAAGGACATGCGCAGAGCTTACTCGGGCACAATAAGTGCGATGACGATTACGAATATAGCAACAGAACCAATGAAGATGGCTTGTACCTGATGAAGTATGAATGAGACTGTGCGGAAGCGGAACTCAGTGACTCGCCGTTGCATAGTCTGGGACCACTGTAAGGACTCCATTCTCCATGATAGTTGTTTTCAAGTTGTTACCGCCAGCTGATTGAGTTAAGAACTTCATTTGTGAGCGGGACATAACTATCTACTCACTGGCTTCAATCTGTGCTGATGCTGCCGCAACCATCTACCACGAACACGTTAGCTAAACTTATTGTGCGTGTCCACGCGACCTACATTGCCGAGCTGGTAAACGACACCAGGGAAGGTCGCCCTGAATGCTGGTGGTGACATCTCGGCCAGTTGAATCGGGATCTACAATGATGTTGGGAGTCAAGTTCACAATGAGATTAGGCGAACACATACAACGCCCCAAGCGCCCTGAACACCAACTTGAACACAGAATCCTCCAGCAGAGAGGGCAGAGAATGACGAGGGCAGAACCCATAATGGAATGAACACTGCGAGAGAACATAAGTGTCGTTTTCTATTACTAGGATTAGTGCTTACCTCCGACGAGAAGCACACAACATCTTACATGAAGGTGAGTAGAGCCATGGAAATATCATTTATTGGATGCACATACATGATCGTCACGCGGCGTCCAATGTACTGGCTCACCCATCCAGCCATGGCACCACCGCTGTATGACCCTGAGGGCTTTGGCTGAATGCAGAACCAACCAAGAACTCACACAAAAGCTCCCTGTTTGGCATGTTGAGATTTGACAAGCAGATAAGTTTACAAGACTCACGCAATTGCTAATAATGGTCGCGACAGTGGCATCGTGAGCACTGAAGCCCTTGGTGATCTGGAGGTACGTGGGAAATAGATCCTAGATGGACATTACATTATCGAGTGCATGTTCATACATGGTATATATGAGCATGCCTGTGAACCGTGAGACAAGAAATTGAGCCCTGCAGAGGTGTTGGTATGTTCGTTGTTGACAAGTAAAAGAAATTCAGACCTGACATCAAGAGCACTCCATAAATGCATAAGAGCCAGTGCTGCTTAAGCATCTCCTTTGTTTTCCTGAGGAAACTTTGCGATGTATCGGTCCCTTTCTCCTTCTCTTGTTCCTTGACATGCAAGAAGAACGGACTTTCAGGAACAAGAGCACGGACGATTGCGGCAAAAAAAGTGACGCCTGCTCCGGTCCAGAAAAGCGACCGCCATCCGTATTGAGCTACCAAGGTCAGGTTTACAACAGCTGCAAAAATGTACCCGACAATAAAGCCTTCCTGCAAAAACCCACTTGCAAGCCCGCGAAGCTCGACAGGTAAGTTCTCAAGAGCTGAGGATGCTGAAAGTCCCCATATTCCACCCATAGCGATACCGAATAGGGCACGAAGGACGAGGAATTGTGAATAGGTGTCGACAAAGCCAGTTCCCAGTTCAATGACGCAGCAGAGAAGGAGATTAACGACCAAGGGCCACTTGCGACCATACCGGTCAGATATCATACCAAATATCACCTAGGAAATGGTAAGCTTAGCGGAGAATAGTGGCAGGTGTGACACTTACGGCGCCGACTGATCGTAATAAGAGCGTCAAAGTCAAGGCGGTCGTCTTCAATCATGTCCGAGTCATGCATCAGCGGCGCAAACAACAAAAGAAGGGAAAGGGCGTACGATCGCACTTGTTGACTTTCCAAATTGTGTAGACAGGAGCGGTACTGTGAGCGATACTGCGACGTAATCAGTGGCGTCGCACGCCCAAGCAAGCCAGCTATTGTGATGTGATGAGGATGATAGTATGAAGCGCAATGGAAGTAGGACACTGACCCAGACCAGAACTGAGCCCACTGCACCCAGGTGAGACTTTTGAGCGCAGCAACTACACCACCAAGAGAGGTACGAGTCTCGCGACGCGGGATGAGCTCGCGAATAAATCTCGGTGGCATGATAGAGATAGTCTAACCTCAGAAGAAGGTTAGCATCAGATTAAATATGCTTATATTCGCGAGAAGGGGGTCAGTATCCCCTCAGCCCCAGGCACCCAGTGGGCAACTCGGCCATTAATACGGTTCTTTTCACGGCATCAGGTAATTCTCCACAGAAAGTGATGGCCTTCTGATATCACTCAAATCAAACCTTCATGCTGAAAATGTTGACTTGGGAGTCCTGCATGATCGGCATCGTAACAGTATGGAGCTATAATTTCAACTTTTCAGTATTGTACCTCAGATTACATGCTGACGAGGATACGACAACCACCGGGCCTAACAAATCAAGGTAAGCGCGAGATGATCCTAAGGAAGGGGATGAGTCCTTTACATACTGATTGAACTACATTTCTGCTTCCAAGTGACGTTTAAAGCACCTGTTACAGAGTCATCGATGAGCTATGCATATGTCAGTTGACGATAGGCATCGCATCTTGGACAAATTCGAACCCGTTCGGCGATCTGCTGAATCGAATTTGATCACGGTTTGTTCGCCGCATCTTGCTTATAGAATTCTGCGATTCTATGGGTTACAATTCATCGGATCTGTACCGAGCTTGTCGCGTACGATGACAGCGGAGGCTTGATATATTCCTAGGGTGGACGTTGGTCGCTCATACTATGACAGACGGAGCCGTATCGACTGAGTGGTCGATTTTATTGATAGGTCCGATATGGAAGCTGTTTATATGATGCTCCACATATAGTCACCGCTAGTCAAGATTCAAGAAGAAAGTTGTAGTAAGTCGATTAGTACAGGCTCGAAGGTCCTCAGGAATTCCCACGTGTCTAAAGACTCCGAAATACTTGTCGACTCCGTCACCCGCTCCGATTCTGAATTTCTGAAGTAGCTGCGCTGCTGCAGCTGCACAATCTCTTGCAGCGTGCAGGCTTGCACCGAATAAAAATTCGGTCGCAAACCGAACTCGTCCAGATCAGGTCTAGCCAGGTCACCTAGTAATGCCACATTGATATCGAACGTTGAATATTCAAGAATGAACTGCGGAATGACGATAAGTACTTATTTCGTACTCCTCCAATCATTGTTCGCTTCCTCCGGGCGTTATATGACAACCCCATATTGTCCACTCCGCGCTTACCGCGAATAACGCTTTCGTCCGCCCTCTCGTCGTCCACTGCGTCCCACGGCACCTGATATGAAATTTCAGAATCTTGCAGCTGTTTTGCCTCGAATTAATTGGTCATGGTTCTTTCAACCACTTTCAAAAAGCTATGAAAATCAGGCCGGATCCATAAACGTCACTGGCACTGGTGCTTGATACGATTGCAGAACTACCAATGTGGGTCAATCAATCAGGCCTCAGGGTGTAACAGTACCTGAATTCACATATGGGATGCTCTGCTGGCAAACCCGATTGGCACTGATGGGCCCATCGGTCACCGATGGAGGTGACACCAGCTGGACTACGTCACTTTCTTTTTATAACTTCTCGTACACGTGGAACATACCAACTGCTACAATTGGGCAACAGACGGGCCTCCAGACTTTAAACTTCGCATGTCTATGAGCGATCAATACCTTTACCACAACGCCTTGACTGGGCTTCCCTAAAGAGATCTCGCATCAACTCTAGTTCGTCTATCGTCTTCTCCGATAGTTTCTGGTCTCTCACTGTGGAGACCATAGTGCTGTTGGCGACAATGTACACCCTCTGATCGGGTAACTTCGCCTCCTGAAGGTTGTACCTGACGGTGGCGCGAGTTTCAGCGATGTACTGCTCGCGTGCGGAGCTATACAATACGTCACGACGCGAGCGGTCTTCATCTTCATCGCTGTCGTAACCCGATTCCTTGATGATGTTTCTGATATGTGAGTCTGATTTCGACCGCACGATATAAGTAGGAATATTCAGACGCCGACAATTGACCAGCATGGCAAGGTCAGTCATCGTAAAGCGGGTGTCGAAAAGGATGATAATGCAGTCGAAAACATAGAGTCCCTGTGCAGTGAAATATTGCCAATCCGGTATGTTCAACGTGCCGGACCCTGGGACGTCATACCAAACGAACGGATTTTTGGGGTTTGGGTCTGGGAATCTAGCAATATTCGTGGTGGTCTCAACCACACCCGTTGGTGCAGCCCCCTCATCTCTGTTTCGAAGGCCTCGAAAGGCGTTGATCAGCGATGACTTTCCTGCGCCAGAAACTCCTGTCGCTGCGAAATGGAATAGTCCCTCTTGGTATTGGACTCCGTGCTTCGCTAATTGTATCTCCTCCTCACTGGGGATACTCACGAGCTGGAACGCGCTGTGTTTCTCCAAGGTCTGCGGGTCCTCCTTCCCATTTATGGTATTTTCAGTTATAGTAATATCGGCTGCACCCTCGAGTTGAGCCAAAATGCAACCGGACAACTAATACTTTCTTGCCTTTATTGGTTGACTTCGTGGGCGAGACGCCTTCTTCTTCCTTCGTCTTCATCTGGAGTACTGCGGCGCAACGCTCTGGCGTTTCATAAAGACGCCTGCGCGGGGTTTCTTCCGAAGCATGCATCCCCACTTCGCTCGGCCTCCGCCACACATTTGTTTGTGCAGAATGAAATTCTTCGACGTTTCTCCCGGTGGCACGTGGAGCTCGAGCAGCTGGGAACTCATCTATTTCCTCTCTGATTCCTCTCGTGTCTATATCAATACGATCTTCTTCCTGCCATTCTACACCCTGCCACCCTGCCATTGGTGCCCTATTAGCTTGCCTTTGGGAGCGCGAGTCTCTGGCATGTGCAAGGTTGGCAAAAGTGGGATTTTCGAAGATCTCCGATGACCGAATTTCTTCGACGATTCTAAAAACGATGCCAGCAATGATCCGAAGAGCTTGCATGGGGGAGGACATTGACGCGCCCATTTTTCATGTGGTAGGTTAGAGTTCTGTATTTTGAAGGGATGGTAGAAAAGATGGATCACCTTCCACTATTACACAAGGTGGTGGTTATATGCATCTTGAAATGCTGTGTAGCCTCGAGGACCAAATTGCCAATACATTAGATGGCTCATGGCTGATCGTCTCTTCTTTAGAGGGCAGCTGTGGAGACTATCCTACAACATCACGCCCCACGAGGTTCCAGTTTGCGCTTCTCAATCACAAACCAGGGCGTTGCGCAGTTAGATTTCCATTTTTGTACTCAACCAGGGTAAGATATGCATTCGCGCGAAGCTAGTCGTAATAAGAAGGATAGATATTAAATTGACTAAAGATATTTTAAGGTAGGCACAAGGCATGCAATGGACTGTCGTGAATTGTATAGGGGGTGCTAGTGACTTGAAAATTGAAGATATTTGTCTGCTATAGGGCTACAGGGGAAAGGAGGCCACCGGAAAACATTATCCCATATTAATGACGTAGAGTTCAGGGACCCAAGCATTCCTGTAATAATGGGCCGATAGGATATACACGTCCGACGCACGAACATTGTTTTTGCTAAACGCCCAATCTTCCCAACCATGTGCAACGGGCTTATCCTGATGACCGACGAGTCAGTAATTTTGTGTCAATCTCAAGATTACACATACCCTTGCACGGTCCTCAAGATGTCGAATCTGACTGGCAATCTCTATAGCGAAATCTTGACGAGTCATCGGTACGTTATTATCCAGTACTTTAAAGCGCCGACGAGATGCATCCGAAGATCTGTTGGGTAGGTATCCGGGCCACTACGTGAATTGGTAAACACAAACTATTATAACAGAGACTGTGGTGATACTCACTTTTATCGCCAGAGTAGTTTCTCGCCAGCCGTGATGAGCGAATATCGCGTCAGTCGGACGATCAACGACGACTGTTCCGGTCAGAATATCTCTCACGCGCACACCGTACCAACCACCCGCGCTAAATGTGATGCCGGGGAAGCTCTGCTGAGAAGGAGTGAATTCTCGCGAGCGGGGAACACGCTTCGCTATTCTTCCATCTCTCAGCTCCCAATATAGTGGCATCTCGGCGCCCACCATCGAGGGGTGAGGGGAAGGATTGGCATTCCGAATATAGTACTAATGTCATTTTTGCATAAGAAGAAATACGGAAAGAACATGGAGGCTTACCCCAAGAGACCCGGCTCCACCAGAGTTCACAATCATTTGGTTGGGCTGCATGTATTCCATACTAGAGTGAATGAAGCTAGAATATAAAATCTGCGCTGCAGAATCTTTGAGATGTTCGAGTTGTTGGTGAGGAGCTCATCCCAAGCACTTGCGTATTATATACCACCCATCGCTTCAACACGGTCGACAAAGCGGTGCGCGTTATGAAGCGCTAGTTGTCCGGCGGCAAAGCGACCATTCAAAGTAGTCCAGTAAATTGTGAATCATGAAGCGAAACACTAACCACTCAACGACATACAGCGTGACACAATGAACGTAATTTCCTTCCGCTAAATGGCGGCGTCATCAAGCGTAATTGGGTCACTAGGAAACTTTGAGACTGGCAAAGTGTCTTTGATGCACGTGCAACACAACGTGAGACCTGTCGATATCTGGCGTCTATTAGCAAAACCTAATCCTTGGAGTATTGATTATGGAGTCTGACGGTCTAAGCCAAAGCTCACCAACTGCGGGTGGTCCAATAATCGGGAACGGTTGGTCCTTGATACAAATGGTAGCAGACCGTACGTTGCAACAACCATAAACACGAGACTCGATGGACATAGCATCTCATGAGGGATTAAAACAATATATTTCCCGAGACAGCTTACCGAATCCCGATGTCTGTCTCCGACAATTGCAGGGTGGAGGCAGACTAAAAACAATATTAGCATATAAAATACCGTGTGTCAACCTAGTCAGTCTTAGTGATGACTGTTGGTTACACAAGGACCGTTCGTTGCGACGAGCATACAGAGGTCGCATCCCATTGTACATCTAGACGTCGACTAGTGCACTAGTGGGCACTGGGCAGTGAGCATATTGTGGCGTGAACCTGTGTTAAATTTCAAATTACCAAAAAAGGGCATATGCGAGAGTCAGCGACAATTTACAAAGCGACGTCAAGTACTTCGCTATCGTGTACGGTGCAGTGCAGGGCTCGGGAGTGCTAGTGAAGCTTAAGCTTTAAAGATGATGCCAACTTCTTGCCCAGTGCCGTACCCAAACTAGCCTTACCACCGATCGCTGCCTGTAAAATATGCCATCGAGCCCATGCCGTGGTACAGTAGCAGTAGAGCCCTCGATTTTCGAACCTGCCAAACTCCTTTGTGCATCATGATCTTCTTATATTAACTTACACTACAACACTACCTGCAGCACGCATATGTCATGTGTCCTGCCGCATTATGTAACATTATTACTTAGGTGTAACAAGCGTGAATTCAACTCAACGAATCCAACAATACCACTACTTCCGCAGTACATAAAATTCCGGAAGCCACACACCAGCTGCATCCAAATGTATGGACGTGAGCAAGATATCTTTTAATCGTACTCGTGAACAGAGGGTCCAAGGGTCAGATTTGACCAAAGGCGTCAGTCTCTGTTGACTCGGTTAGTTCTGGCCAAAAACCGATTATTGAGGGTACCACTCACCGATGCAGATGAGTAAAACTTATGCATTGCAGTACACACCGCAACTGCGAGTTCATGTTTCGTATTCGGATTGACTGTGATGTGTCTGGGGTCCGAAGCATCATAACCAGGCCACTGCAAATTAAATATCAGGTCTTGTTCGGATTAGAACATGCATTGAGTGTACCTGAAAACCTATTTTGTGGGGCCCTGCCTTGAAACCAGGTTCTGGATTGTCCTGCATGCATTCACCATTCAAGATGTTCTTGACCGACACGCCAGGATTGCCATTATCAGAGAATGGAATTATGTGATCGCATGAATGACATGGAGCTGGAACACGATCTGCTGTTGTTCCATTCGATAGCGTAAGACGTTTAGTTGGACGTTGCTTTGTAGTAGGCGAGGGAGGTGGAGTGCTCCTTCCAGTCGATGACTATCAGGTTACACATGAACATGGATTGTCGTGCGGAGGCAAGTCAACTGAGACATACGGATGAAAATTGCCCAAAGGACTGGCCAGAGTGCCTTTTACGAGGTAGCATCGAGGTGAGTCGAACGTACAGACAGGCAATGCAATTATGCTCTACAGCCGAAGGACTTGGATATCCAAAGATACCAGCTTTGAAGATGGCGGTGTCACCGTACATCCCTGGTATTTTATAAGAATCGCATGGCTAGCAGGCATTACAGTTGGTGGGTGATATCTCTCCACAATATGGCATTGTGTCTGGTCTGTCTGGCCTTTGACGCGGCCAAGTTGGAAGGCCTCCAGGTTATCCCTTGATTGGGAGACGCCTGACCACTCGTAGATGAATTCGTGTCCTTCACACCACCGTGCCTCAAATAAATGGCAGGCCTGCCAGAGTGGTACGGCCAATCTTGCTGTGGGTTCATAATAATTCCGAGTCAGCGAAACCTCTGATAGGGATATTGGACAAACAGTCCAGCACGAGATCGTCGGCCTGCAATCTTGGCCTGGAGGGTATGCATCATGTACAGAAGTCTAATTTCTCCAAAAAAATGATTCGGTGAAGAAGGCCAGATGGTGGCAGGTACATCAGCACCCACTGGCAGGTGGTGGGTGTTTGGCCTTCAGTATTTGAAATTCACCATGTCACGTGGCATCGGCAACGAGGCCTGCCAGGCCTGGCCTTCTGGTAACTGCCCGAAATTTGGTTATCTCTAGTATCAAGCCCATCGATCGATGCCATCAACGTTTTTGCAACGTAAACTGGGGGCGTTGCAAACTCGTTCATTAAAATCGACCCATTAATTTGTCAAGCTTGTGGCCATGGCACAATCAATCACTGTGGGCCACCGAAACAACACAAGGTACTCATTGAAATATTTCCACGATTAGTAGTCCGCAACAGCACAGAAAGCCAGCTGCAGGCTCGATCAGTTGGGAATCAGATGATGAGCTATATAGACCTTGCATGTTGTCAAGTTTGAAATGAGAACTTGCAAAAGAACCCACATAAAATCGACCCATTAATTTGTCAAGCTTGTGGCCATGGCACAGTCGATCATTAGGGTACGGTTGAAAAGTCGATATTTTTCAACAGCTGTTTATAATACCTGTTAATAACACTAGTACTGTTGAAAAGTCGTCGTGTCTGGAGGCCTGTTGAAAATTGTGAATAAGTCCAGGGCGTGTGGGAACATTTTGAATGAACTTCTGAGGCTCGAAAAAGTACAACCGGACCACCCTCTCACCGCCAACCTTATTTTTGACGCCCTAGCTATGTCATTCTCTGCACCCGAATCTCTCACCCCTGCCGAGTTTCGGGGTATACTTGAATACTTGCGGATATTGCTACAAAATCTGCCAACTGCCTTGCCTGTTGGTTCTGCTTTCACATCAAAATACCTCGCATTCTTGTCATTCACGATTGACGCTGAGCTGCTAGATCATACCGGAAGCGAAATAGGGGCCTTAAATGAACAATTCAAACAGATTTTTGGATGGCAAACCCGAACAACAGGATCTGGAATTGTGGCAATCGAGGAGCGAGGAGAAGCTATTTGCGCAGTGGTTGATGTGCTTGAAGACTTTCATGTCAGATACCCTACAGATAATGTTATCAAGAAGTGGGCAGTTGACATTGGTATTGGAGTACAAGAAGTCTACAGTAAACACAACGTCAAGGTACAGTTGCGGTGGTAATGGAACGAAATGAATGCCGTCACCTGACATTTTTCGCAGCTCCCACCACAGGGCACGGCTACAAAGCAACAAAAGCAGACATTGTTAGACTCTGTCTTGAGTACATCCAACACTGCAGTCAATAATCCCCAGACTGTTGTTGAACCATCCACGAGTTCAAAGGGCCGTCCGGTCCATGCCCTAATGCAAAAGCTCATCATCAAGACCACCATCATGTCCGAAGACGGCAAACCAAAGGTTTCCTGGAAGTGCGTTTCATGTGACCATTCGCGAAAAGGGTCACCGCAGGAGAGTCGTGTCCTGAAGCACTCTGCAACCTGCAAGAAGATGCTAGATGCTATCACTACTCAAACCCATCATCAAGCATTTTAGCAAGTCCACGATCTCCGCCGCACATCTTCGGAAGGAGCGTCGGGTTGATGACAATGACGAGACTGTGAAGGCCCTTCAAAAGATTGGCAAAACAAGGTTTGGAACTCACTGGTCAGCTGCGGCGTCACTCGAGCAGTGTCTCCCAAATATACGAAATCTCGTGGAGAAGAAGGTTGTGAAATTCAAGGCAGGTACTTTGAAACACAATCTCACATGGTACTGATCCAATAGAGTCTAGAACCGTAAAGTGAAGGACATGTTTCTGAACCGTCGTGCATTCCAGACTTTGGAGCAGGATCTAGGTACTTATGTCACGCTCGTGGGACCATTCATCCGCTCGCTGTGGTCGCTTGAGGCATCCCATGCGAATGCTTCAGATGTCTTCGTTTTTTTGGCTCGCAATTGCTGCGACACTGGAAGAATTATTCGCAAAGGGTGAAGATCAGACAGGGATACCAGTTTCCCTCGCGCAACGCATTACTGCCATCTTCAACAGCCGGTGGAAGGAATTTTTTGGTAACGATGTTTATTTTGTTGCTTTTGCACTAGATCCACGTAAGTTGCTTTGGATTCCTTACATGTCCTCACTGATGTCATTTCATAGGTTATCCTCTCTCAGACGACATCATGAAATCAGCATTGGCAGCCCCGACCATCCGTATACCAGCACAGATACCAAATACGTCTGCAAGTGCCGAGCGTCCAATGCCTCATCCACGTGCTTACCATCGCGTGAAAGAGTTTCTCAAACCTATGCTGCGTGCAATGGTAGAACACAATGAAGTACACGAACTCAAAGACCCAATCTCACTGCTTGTGCATGAGATTGGAGCAGCTGGTGTTGTCGATGAGTTCAGACGTCAACTCAAGGCTTATTTTCACAATGAGTGGCCATTCAATGCCCCCCTTCAAGATGGAAACACTCTCGTATGGTGGAACATGCTTCTACCTCATCCCCATGCCCGTGTTCTTGCTGTAAGTGTTTACTTCTTGATTCTCACTGTCACACTAACTCACTCGCTGTTCTGTAGGCTCTCGCTGTCAAAATTTTCTCAGTATTGATCAACTCCATGCCTGACGAGCGGACAGGCTCAAAGCTGACATGGTTCAACTCAGCGATACGTGGCAACCAAAATGCTCAAACACTCGTTGATATGATTCAAATCGGCTAGTGGTATGGTACAAAGGTGCGTAGTAGTTAGTATATGCTGCATCAGAAATTTACATAACACTGTACTATAGGCTGAAAACTCGAGACCACGCAGGGAACCCTACCGCCCTACAGTCAAGTTCCGCGATATCGACAGAGACCTCCTTCGCGCTGTTGCCACAGGAGTCAAGCCAGCTACTGACAATGTGACACCTGATGTGGACACTGGACACGACAGCGAGGACTCAGAGGACTTGCCGGATGATGTCGAGGATGACGTCGTAGACTGTCACAAAGATGATGAGATGCCAGAGGATAATTTTTTGCAGGTGGACGAAGATATTCACCTTGGCTCTCCTTTATTGCGTGATTTGATCTCTACAGTACCTGTCGTCGGCTCCCAGAATGTTCGAGTGGCCCAGGACAATGTGCCAGTGTCGAAAAAGAGGGTGACCAACTGGAATTTCTAGTTTTTCACAATTATTCACTGTAAAAACGTTATTCACGCTGTTGATAAATCATTTTCAACTAGTTAATAACTAATTGTTGAAAAGTGTTTAAAACACCTGTTGATAAATGGTCCGAGGCGGTCTGTTTATAAACAGCTGTTGAAAAGTCGTCACGACTTTTCAACCGTACCCTATCGATCATGGACCACTGAAACAACATCAAGTACTCATTGAAATATTTCCACGATCACTCCGCAACAGCACAGAAATCTCAGTTGGGAATTGGATGATGAGCTATATACACCCTGCATGTTGTCAAGTTTGAAAATGAGAACTTGCAAAAGAACAAATGCAGAGGTGATTTCAAAATTTTGCCATCAAGTCTCAGTTTGGCACGCTGAGAAAAATCACGCATATCAAGGAGAATATCGTCAAGTAGCTACGTACATATACATGATATCGTGTTCTCGAGTGATGATGCAATGTGGCAGCTTCAACCAAGTGCAAGCAGCCAATACAATGTTTTTTTGCTAAGGCTCGTGGGGAAATGGTAAGAAGAGTTCGAAATCAACGTGCACAAATGGCTCCGAAGGTATAAAAATTACTGTAGTCATAAAGTGTATGTTTACATGGGAAAAAATATAGTGAAGCCTCGGAGATGCGTTACAGTCGTGTAACAGTACACAAGTCATTTTTGTGTTTCAAACACATGATTAACTGTAGATAAATAAATACTACGATCATGTTCATACAGAGGCGGAGGCGCTCACGCAGCCTAAGCGTTGCTCTTCTCCGAGTTGGCTTCGCGAAATGACGTTTGTGATGCGCTATCAGCCACAGCCACAGCATCATCTCTTCCGCCACCTTCTTCGAAAGCAGTCTTGTGGTTCTCGAAATGTGAGCCGTGGTTTCTAAAAGAAGGTAAGCGTCTGTAGGTCCAAGTACACGCGCGAGTCTTACTCAGGCCCAATGATTGTGATAATCACCACGAATGCAGAAACGACACCAATGAAGATGGCTTGCACCTGATCAAGTGATGAGTAAGACTGTGCGGGAGTAGGACTCTGTTACTTACAGTTGCATAATTTGCTTCCGACTTAGGAACTCCGTCCACTATGACCGTTGTCCTCAAGTTGGCAGCACCAGCTAATGTACATTGAGAACTTTGTTCACGGAATAAATTGTGACTATCCACTCACTGGCTTCAATCTGAGCTGATGCTGCCGATATCATCTACCGCGAATATATTAGCCACAACTATCGCATGATGTTCATTCAACCTACGTTGCCAATCTGGTAAGCAACACCAGGAAATGTTGCTCTGAAAGCTGGCGGGGACATCTCAGCCAGTTGGATCGGGATCTAGTACGTTTATTTTTGAGGTCGAATTCGCGACAAGAGTAGGAGAAGACGTACGACACCCCAAGCGCCTTGAACACCAACTTGGATACAGAATGCCCCAGCAGAGAGGGCAGAAAATGAGGTGGGTATAACCCATAATGGAATGAACGCTGCAAAAGAACATGATTTTTATTCCATATCATCAGGATTAGTGCTTACCTCCGACGAGAAGAATGAAAATTCTGATAAAATTTGAGTAAAGTCATGAAACCATCATTGTTTGAGTACACATACACAATCGTCAGGCGGCGTCCGATGTACTGGCTCACCGATCCAGCAATAGCACCACCGCTGTATGACCCTCAGAACTTGAAATGCATATAGAACCAATTGACAACTCACGCAACCGCACCCTGTTAGTGCACATTTAGAGCTTGCATACAGGTAATTTTATAAGACTCACACAGTTGCCAATAATGGTCGCGACAGTGGCGTCGTGAGTGCTAAAACTCTTGCTATCCTCGAGGAACGTGGGATACAAATCCTGAACGTGTGTCATTATGAGCTCGCCCGGCGAATTTTCATGCACTTACCTGTGAACCGTGAGACAAGAAGTTGAAACCTGCACAGAAATGTTAATATGTCGATTGTTAGGGATAAGAGAATACTCACCTGTCATTAAGAGTACAGCATAAATGCATAGGAGCCAGTGACGCTTAAGCATCGCCTTCGTTTCTTTAATGAAGGTTTTAGTTTTGTGGGAGGTATTGGTCCCTCTCGCCCTCTCTTGTTCTTTGGCACGCAGGAAGAACGCGCTCTCTGGGACGAGCATACGAATGCCTGCAGCAAAGAAGCTGATGCCTGATGCAGTCCAGAAAAGGACCCGCCATCCGTGTTGGGCTACCAGGGTCAAGTTTATCACAGCTGCGAGCAGGTATCCAACAGCATAGCCTTCCTGCAAAACTCCACTTCCAATCCCACGAAGTTCGACAGGCAAGTTCTCAAGAGCTGATGCCGATGAAAGTCCCCAGATTCCACCCATGGCAATACCGAATATAGCACGAACGCCGAGGAATTGCGGAAATGTGCTGACAAAGCCAGTTGCAAGCTCAAAGACACAGCAGAGAAGTAGATTGAACACCAATGGCCACTTGCGACCAAATCGATCAGATAAGATACCGAAAATAATCTAGGGAATGATAAGTTAAGTTGCCGATAGACAGCGGGAATGATACTCACAGCGCCGACAGGTCGGAATAAAAGGGTCAACGTTATAGCGGTCGTCTATGACCGTGGTGTACATTAGCGGACAAGCAGCGAAAGACGGACCAAAAAAGCGCACGATTGAAGTTGTTGATTCGTTAAATTGTTCTGCCAGGAGGTTTACTGTGAGTGACACTGCGAAGAAATCGATGGCGTCGCACGTCCAGGCAAGCCAGCTAGTGCAACACGTGTTAAGAGGATGATGACGCGAAGCTAAGGAGGACACTGACCCGGACCAGAACTGAATCCACTGTACCCATGTGAGACTCTTGAAAGCGACCACTACACTACCAGAGGCTGCACGCTTCTCTCTACGCGGGATGAGCTCGCGCAAAAATCTTGGTGCCATGATGAGGGTGGGATAAGGATTGATCAGAGAGGGTGGGCCTTAGGGCTGCAGCATGCCATCTCTGTGTTACTTTATATCGAGAACAAGATCAGGAACATTTTAATCTGTCAGGCACCTAAAGTAACATAAGTATAGCAAGATCTTAGGCGAGGTGCCAAAATGGATTGAAACCGAGTACTCACACATTATGTCGACAAATGCCTTCCCCACACAATTATGGGGGTGATCGTATACTATGATAAATGTTGACTCCTCAGCTGACAGTGCCAGCAGTGCCTTCGGGTCTTTATTGCACCCTAGTGATCTCAATTGATTCATTGTGACGTTGCGGATCCAGATTGCTATGTGTCTCCGTGTCGGCTAAGGACGGGTGAGTTAGCGCCTTAGCCTGCTGCTTGCTGCCTGATGCAGCCTAGCGAGAGGCTGATGCGGTCTAAAAACCCAGCTATGGCTACGATAAGCGGCAAACACAAGCTTAGAGGAATGGATATAAGCTAGTAAGACCTCGTTGCAAGTTTAAAGCGTTTTGCAGGAACGTTGATAATCGATTACATACTAGCCTGGACCGGTAACAACCGGATCAGACGGGATTTTGATTATCTTCTTGTATGCATCGCGACGGTTGACGCGTGACGTGCATGCCACAGCGTGCTACTGGCAGTGCAAATAATTTCAAATTGTTTTGCTATTACGCTGACCACACGCGGGGCAGGACGCTTGGAATCATACGATAAATAAATTTATTCGAATATTATTGTTGTAATCACACTGTTCCTCGTCCTCCGTATCGTATCAATTCCGTAAATATTGTACTTCGTGGTCGCGCTCCATAGTACGTTGTATTAATAGAACACATGCAGCGTTTCATCTCGCGGAAGCATTTCGCATCGACGCCACGCATGCTCTCCACTTTAGGTTAGACGGGGCCCCTTTGCTTGTCCAGGCAAATGTCATTCAGTCTTCGCTACTACCGGAGGTAAGAAATGAACAGAACAATGAACAGGAACAATACTTCTCCATCCGTGCCAGCAGATTTCTTGTGTTATATAGTTCAGCGCTTCGACTTCTTACCCCTTCTCGTGGGTTTTTTGTCCTTCTCATCTCCACCTTCTGCTTTCCGCTTCTTGCCAGCGATAGGTTCCGTCGTCTTCACACTGATGACGGTAGCTCCTCCCTTCGCGAGCCTCGACTCAGCGACACTCCAATCTGTGCCGCCATCGTTGATAGCATACCTATGAAGCACGATCATAAATCACATTATAAATGCCCGAGCCCGTCAATCCATACCCGCAGCAGATGGAGGATACAATCACACTCACTTGCTCAGATCCAAAGAGTCGATCATCTGGCGTTGCTTTTCTCGAAGCGCGTCTGTTGCTTTGTCACCGGCCTCGTTTAATTCATCTTCGATGTTTGTGTCCACAGGTTTCCACTGCGCAGGCTCGCCATCATCCCCAACACGTAAAGTCGTGGTTGGCAAGGCCAACGGGATATCAGCGCCAATCGAAGCCTTCTGGATGTCCACAAGATGTTTGGTTATCTTGCGGATAACCTTGGCAAACAAAGCTAGTGCCTGTGCAACTGGCAGCGATAGCTCGCCCTGGAGAATCACGCCCCTGAGTATCACCCAATGCGTATGATGAAAGAATATACCTCGACTTCCTCGATGGTTTTTCTTTGAAGACCGAGACCAAGTAGAATAGAGGCCTGAACTGCGCTCAACTTTACGTCATCTCCTAACCGCCCTTCGAAATACAAAGAAGCTACTGCTGGGAGTAGATCGAGGATAACATGATAGTCAAGCATGTTATTGGCATACGACTCTAGACGCTTCAAGTCAAATGGTGACATGAGGATGGAGAGCTCTGGCGATCCAACAGCTAAAAATAGCGTCAGTCAATGAACCCTTGAAAGCCCTTGGAAACAAATTCACCTCGCGACTTCTCTCCATCAAGCTTCTTTACGCCGACACTTGCAGCCTCGAGCACACTGAGCGCAGTGACAGTGCCAAACTCACGGAACTTGAAAGAGAGCAGAGATAGGAACCGCCGCCTGAAATCTACGCCCCATGTGGCCGAGTTTGGTATGAATCATCAGACGAACGCACCTTTCGAGAACTCGCCCATCCATTCAAGTTCGCCATCCGCAGAACTGTTAAGTCCCCGGACCATAACACACGTGTGCTCTCCTGTCAGCTCACTTTGTGTTTGACGAATGTATAATGGTACATATCCAGCCCTCTTCCAAAAGCTAGAATCGAAAGATTAATATGGATTACTAGATCAAACAAAAATATATCACCGGAGAAGCTGGGGCGTTAGCCCATACGAGACTCCAAGGTAATCCAACGATTCAGGTTTCCTTTCTGATAATCTCTGGAGAAGTGGGGGCATCGCCTCAGGAGCACGCACTCTGGGGTAATCCGTTTGGAGATCCGTTCCCTTCACCGAACACATATGATTTTACAAAAATATCTGGAACGGATATCGCACTCACCGGATCTAGCGCGGCTGCATCTGGATAGGAGGGTTCGGCAGGAATAGCTTCATCCAGGTTGAAATACTCTCCGCTATAGAAAGAATTTAGCGCTTTCAGGGCGCGAGATCCATACCCCATCTGGTTGGCTAATGAATCACAGGCTAAAATATACATTGCAGCTAACTCACATTTGCGTAATCGGGATGGGTTGCAATCCGTACAATCCGGGCACCAGAGAGTAGTGCAAATTTGCTTTCTTGGAACTGCTGGGAGACAAGCCAAGGGATCATGTCACCTCCTGCTCGCAAACCGCGGCTCAAGCCATCCATGATGGCGCCTTTGCTGATATTCCCTTCCAGTGCAACTTGCAGTACGACAAGTGGCTCCGGAAGATGAGACTCGTCGTCTGCTATGGGGGGTAGGAGCACGAAAAGGTGATGCGCTGGGGCATCCGACATCAACTGGAGGTCATTTGGTTGATTTTTGTAGTGACTGGCGACATACAACGCCATCATGCGCTGCAAGAAGACCTCTGATGCGGGGTGGTAGCTAAAGAGCGTATCTCGACTGACATAGTACAGCTCGCACGAAGAAGGGTGCGGGCAGCCCTGTTGAGCGGCCTTTGGTACAATCGTTGCATCCAAACAAAGAAGGCCATTGAGCCATTTTTCGACGCGATCGCCAGCAGAGTATCGGATAGGTGTTTCGAGCTTAATTTCACGAAGGGTTCGAGCTTTAGGGGCAGCAGAGCGCGCGGGCTTTTTGGAGGTTGAGGCAGTAGCGCCATCTTCAACAGGCGCAACAGCATCTTTTGTGAGTGAAGGTCGGGTACTTTCACGGAGTTGTTGAATAAGTTTGAGAGAAAGAGATCGACCTGTGCCCTCGTATCCGTTAATGGTCGATGCCATGAAAACAAGGTACGGGCCCAGGAGATTGCGGACAAGGGGAAGGGGGATGGCGGCTGCTTCATCGATGACAACTAGCTCGGCCTGACCAAGAACGTGCGCATCCTCGGGTTGGATATACTGAGAATTTCTTTGTCAGGATGTGTGCGTAAGTGCCGAGAGGGAAGTACCCACCTGAATGGTCTGACGATGCTGACGGAACACATTTACGCGGACGATGGCCTTATTGAACTCTGGATTCGTGCTCTGTGCAATATCGTAGTCCAAGTGCTCCTCGTAACCGAGAGCATCCATACCCTTGAAGATAAATTCAAAAAGCGTATTCAAGTTTTCTGGACTGGGACTCGTAATGAAAATATTTGAGTATCCATGAGCGAGAGCAGCAGCGATTGCCAAGCCTAGTGCCGCAGATTTACCGCGACCTCGAGCAGCGGTGAGCGTGACGGTGGATGAGAGTGTCTTCTCGGCAATCGCATCAACAAAGGTTAGAACAGCTTGAGCCTGATCTATGGTTTTAGCGAGTTTTACGAGCTCGCCCACAGGTTTCGTGTCTGCCAGACTATCCTTGAGGTCCTTGAGCTCGGAGTCTGCCTTACCCTTCCCGCGCTCCTCTTCAATCGGGGTGATATCCTTGGCTTTAGATATGGGCAAGACATTCAGTTCATCATCCAAAACCAAGCAGTCCGAGCAAGATCCCAGGGAGAGAATAAACCGTTCGTTAAATCGCGCAACTACCGAATCATGAGACGAGGTTCTGTATCTGGCATGTACATCCTGCAAAAGGAATCAGTGAGCAACTCTCTGGATGAGATGGCGATATCGCCGTACCATGGTAAGAGTGTACAATTGCCTCAAAGATGACATTGTTTTTAGGAGAAGCACCACTAGTCCACCGCCCTCTACCGTCTCGATAGTGCGTGCCAGGAGATTGGGCGTGATTGCCTCAAAGTCTTGCAGAATACACATACCATAGGTGTTTCCCAATATACGGTGCGACTCTTTATAATAGCTAGAGGACTATGAGCTTGCTTCTGGAAATCACCAATGTTCACGCACGTATAACGGATATCTGTGACAGTCACAAAAATTTCGAATGGATTTTGCTCGTTTGCCTCCCGCACACCTCTCTTCACGTCCCGTTTGATTTTTGCCTCTCGCTTTTTTCGTGCCCTATATATCATCTTAGGTCTTTTTACAAAGCAATATCATGTCACTCACGCGGTGAAACCAAGATCCTTCTTATAGCACCATAGTACTGAAGGGCGTGCTGATACGCGCGCTTGTGAAAGCAAAAAGTGGAGATTCACGATCTAGAACAGACAGAGTCTCTGAGAGACGGTCGACAAATTAGAGAAGAGGTGCATACCTGGTCCCTTCCCTTATCACCGACCAAGACTATGAAGGACCGGTGATTTTTCTTGACATTATTGTTAATTAGTACAGGTATACGAGGATCAAGCTGCTTGCGCATGGAGGCTGCTGATACTGGCTGAAGCTGAGGCGAGTCCTGCTAGGTCCTAACGTTCCGTTCAAGACATGTACTAAACAAAATTCACTATCGCATTCGTAAAAGGAAGGTGTTTCGCACGCTCATAACCTTATTCATTTGAAGTAGATGATCCAATTCAATTGAACTTATTCCCGTCATGTTGGCTCAGCGATATGAGTATTGATCAGTATGCCCAGTATTTTTGCCCGTGCTCAGCAGCTCTGTCTCTTCACCAATAACAACTTCTCCGATTGACATCCAATGACCAGGGGATCTACTTGCTATATATACCGATCTAGTCTTGGACACAAGTTCTAAGGCACAATTGCACCGGTGTGAAGATGTATGTCGGATGTTGTGTTCATTGCAGTTCAGTTTTGGACTAGTCTCACACAATTGTAGCCACTGGACACTCCCGAATGATAATCCGCCACACCATTCGTCCACAGGCAACTCCCATTGGGAGGCCAGACATTTGTGCGTCGAACGCATCTCCAATATTGGGTGAGTATTGTGCTCTTTGTAGTGCCGCTTTGCACTTACTTTACACAGCGACAGTCATTGAACTGTACTCCCCAATGTCCACAACTGCATCAGTCCACGGGCTACTTCCATTATGAGTGTTCCGCCACAGTAAAGCGTGCAAGATTCGATAGCTATATAAGCCATGTACATGGTGGCGGTTGTAAGTCACTGATCTCCCAGAATGAACCCTCTCATCTTTACCGACGCTTTTACATCGGCCCATATCGGTGTCAAACAATGCTTTTGCGGCAAACCGACGATCGAAGATCACGATTTCTGGTTTTGCTCTCCTGAATGTGCTCGCGCAGATTCCTTGCGTACTCTAGGCGGCCATGGCGACTTCCATTATCGCAACATCATGCAGAGGGCATGTACCAACTCGGCTGCTCCAAAGCATGTGCTATCGAGGCACAAGTCGGAGCGCCAGCTTCGCAGTGTATCGATCGCGAGGCGTGGTTCCGTATCGCAGCAGGCTCAACATTCCCCAAAGCCAACGCAGACCCTCCCCACACTGGAAAAGGTTACGACTACTATTCTTGCTAGAGAAGGCACATCCGAAGGCAGCGACACTTCTGTCCATGGTCCTGTCGCGAAGATTCCAAGAGAGTCATCGGAAACTGGAGCAATATTACAAGAAATAGAAGAGGAAAACGAGGAAGAGGCTGCTTGGCAGAAACTTGTGAACCGCGCGGATGATAGGTCAAAGCCCCCTACCTTGGATCACCATGGAGTCGGACAGACTATTGCTAATCGGCGATCACATCTTATTCGTCGCTCGGCTTCGTTCGCATGCTTGGACGAACAAATTGAAAACTGGGGCGGCGAGAGGGGACCTGTGATGGAGGTAGTGTTCCAACTTCGTCAAGCGTGGAACGAGATGACAGAGACAGACATCATGCCGGACTTTGAGAGGTCGGACTCGGATGAGGAGGAATTAGCCAGCGAGTCATTTGAAATGACTTTGAGCTTGATATGAATATGCCACACTATGTGTACTATGTTACTATGTTACTATTACTTGTGCTACGACTGGTACAATAATTTATGTATCTCTAGACTCGTGTTCGAAACAGGAAGGTGTTCAAGAACAAACGATCGGCGATCGCATTGACTTACGTGTGACTTCGGCTAATCGTGCAGCATTTCTCCAATTCGCCTCGGATCCTACTCTTGTAGATATCATTGGGAGCCTTTAAAGCGAGCACGGCACAATTCGCTCGTACGACACACACTATCACCGCCCCACCACCGTGATCTCTTTCTGTTCCATACGATCATGTCCTCTGACGCTCTCTTGACTCAGATCTTAGCCCAACTCAGCGCACTTCAGGTCTCTCAACAGACCCTGCAGGCCAAGGTAAAATAACGCTCCAGGCTATAAATATGAACGCTGATACAACTCACAAATCAGTTGGATGCGTTTACCACTCTTGTCGGAAGTCCACCAAGTCATGCGACTCCTATCACAGGCCATAATGATTCACCAACTCTGACACCTTCCTTGCTGCTATCACCTTCCTCTTCCTTGAGCAAAGTCCAGCTGGCTTCAACATCGCCAGCGAGCACTCCGTCAGATCACAATCTAACCGATAGAGAGCGAGAGAAGGCTCTGTACCCTGGTAGAGTGCTTTTGACTAGTAAGTCTTTCTCGATAGATCTAGAGTTGTCAGATAGTGTAGACACTACCTTTCACACGTTTCTATTGTTATCTTTAACTAATTTCGACCTCTACAGCTCATCCTGACCAGCATGGAATTAAACCTTTTCCACTACAATGGGGTGCACCCGATCCCTCCTTGAGAGGACCTGTGATCTGTTCACGTTTACCTTCTTCAGTCAAGCAGCGCAATGCTCTTGGTGCTCACTCCGGTTCATATTCGATTTATCGCGCCCTTGCTATAGCTATGGGGACTCTTAACCCCACACATAAGCCCGATTACTCCATGACTGAGCCACCTGTGCCTATTCCTCCGCAGCCTGCGTGGTCAGATCCACACAAGATCGTATCATTTGACCCCTGGGGACACCTTGTACCTCAGGTATTTAGAAAAGAGGTCGATGAACTTGGGCTCGATGTTCGTCCCAGTATAGCAGTTACAAAGGCGCACATCAAACTCAGTGAAATTGACGAGACTGCGAGGAAAGGCGAGCTCGAGGTGGACGGCAAGATTGTCTTGGCCACGCGTCCTCTGAAAAATGTCGATGGAACAGAGAGTGACGCTTATTCTGGTGTAGAGATCACCACCAGTAAAGCCGCTGTTGAGCCAGTATGGTATCTGCCTGGCATTGCTGAACGTTTTGGGATGTAGGTGGCTACTGCTGTCTCAATCTACTAGTTTCTAATCCTCCATCAGATCCGAGAGCCTGCTTCGCCGTGCTCTTTTTGAAGACACTGGAGGGATGTATCCTGAATTGATTACCCGCCCCGATATCAAGGTCTTCCTCCCTCCCATTGGCAATCTGACAGTTTACATTTGTTCGTGTTGTCGTTCGTCTACAAACTTTCTGCTGACCGCTTTTTCAAGTCGGAAACCCTGCCTTCCTGTACGATGAGTCCAAGGAACTGACCTTACGTGTACATGATGAATGCATGTCTCTCCATTTGTTCTCTTAATCGTATCTGAATTTTTATGATTATCAGGTAATGGTTCTGATGTCTTTGGATCCGACATCTGCACCTGCAAACCTTATCTGGTCTATGCGATCGAAGAATGTATTCGTTGCGCCCAGAGAGGTGGAGTCGGCCTTGTGGTGTACTTCCGCAAAGAGGGCAGAGCGCTAGGCGAAGTCACAAAGTAAATATCAATTCTTTTTTCGTACTCCCAGGCTCACAACACCTCATCAGGTACTTGGTCTATAATCTCCGGAAACGCGGTGGCGACTCTGCGGATAAGTACTTCAAGTCCACGGAGCTTATTGCTGGTGTGAAGGACATGCGATTCCAGGCACTCATGCCGGATGTACTACACTGGCTCGGCATCAAGAAGATCGATAACATGGTGTCCATGAGCGATATGTGCGTCGATCATAAATAACATGCATTGATCATGGCTGACACGCTTACCTCAGGAAATACAACGCGATCGTCCAATCTGGAATTCCAATTTTGAAGCGGTATGATCTACCAGGTGGGTGGCCTTATGAATGCTGGCGTGGTTGGCAATCAATGATAACACTCTCTTTAGAGCATCTCATCCCACCGGACTCGCGTGTTGAAATTGACGCTAAGATCGCAGCGGGATACTTTACTAGTGGGAAGTCAATCACCGAGCAAGACTTGGTCAAGACAGTCGGTAGAACTTGGGAAGAAACAGAGCATTAGAAATAACACAGGGCCCATGTATCTTCACGAACAGACTTTGTGTTCCTTGTACTGTACAACTACGTTTCTATGTACCACAAATATAGCTTCATGCATCTTTGATTCCGTCGTTAGCTCGGATGTCCCAAAGCTGTATCGCCTTCTCCGCTGCAGCAAATCGTGCCTCCTCTTGACTAGCCCGTCCCCGTTTCTCCGCGGTGGCCTGCACAGGTTCTCTGCCTTCGACAGTGATAGTGCAAGTCACATGTCCCCTCTCTTCCTCAAACACCGAAGTCAACTCCCTTTGTTGGCGTGCAGCCCATATATACACCCTGGTGAGCGGGTGCAAAACATCGACGTCATCCCTCAGGTTGCGCTCCAGTTGTTGCATTATACCCAGTTTGCGAAGTACTTGGCGAACGACATCCATGTTCCCACGAGAGTCGAGATAAACAGCGCCGATGATACTTTCGATCATGTCGCTGAAGAATTTGGGTGCTTGGAGGCGAGTGAGGGCTGCCCACGGGAACGTGAGACCGTGAAGGAGGGCTTCCTCTATTTCATCTTTCATTTTGCGATAACGAGCGAGTGTCGCTCTTTGTTGGTCAAAAACCACTGAACTGGAATGGAGCAAGCTTTGGTATAAGGATATTTCCTGCGTTTCCTCGTCCATGACTATGCCATCGCGGGTGGGGCGTGGTAAGCTCGCGTCTTTCTCCAGCGAGCATTTGAAACAGATATAAGTGAGGAAATGTAAGTTAACCACGGCAGATTTGCGGATATGCATCTGGCCTGGGGTAAATTGCTTTCCTGGGTAGTGATAGAGATGCTCTGTGATGATCAAGTCGAGCACAGAGTCGCCCAAAAATTCCATACGCTCATATGATACCGTTCGAGAATCGAATTGATAGCTTGAATGCGTGATGGCTTCGAGGAGGAGAAGCTTGTGGGTAAATGTGTATTCTAACATGCGTTCGATGTCGGTTGTTGGAGTGGAGACCTCAACCATTTCCACACACGAAAGCGCTTTCTCGATATAAACTTCGAGGGGTTGCCACCCTGCCTTGGTGCCGATGCCGAGGTCAAAGAGTCGGGTGCACTCAATACCAAAATTGTACCCTCCATGAAGGGAGGCAGCTCCTATGAGGGCTTCTACTACGTCCGCAAGCATCTTTGTGGATAAGTCCTCAGGGACTTTGGGTGTTCCTTGAGACGAATCGCCAGCGACCACGTCTTCAGTAATCTCGTTTACTTCTCCTGCAGTAAAGTACTGTGGTTTGAACTTCCGAGGGGCAAAACGATCGCGTACGATCCACTTGTACAGGGAAAGCCTGATGGCTTCCTTTGCCAATCTCGAGTTGGAGACAGCATGATCTTTACGCCTGGTGAGGTACCCTTCGTGCCAAAAGGGATGGGTGGCGATCAGATGCATTGACATTACAAACTTGAGGACGGCATCTCCGAGGGTCTCCAGTCTTTGATAGTTAACGTGACCTTGGGCCACAGGGGCAGTAATCGCTGTAATCAGACGAGTCAAAGGAATTTGATAAAGTGGGGTCCCGGTGAGCAGACTCTCTCGAAGAGATACGGCAGTTGCAGCGATGGAAATGTGGCGAATGATGGAGGGTAACAGAATAGCATGGTCGCATTGCACTTGAGAAAGAAGAACGACACGAGATGATTGAGGAGGGAGGAACGACCTCCTGAGAGGTGCATCACTAATGGATGATAGAGGTTGCAAGAAATTTCTTCTTGGCGGCAATTCTTCTACATGAAGTAACGGGTAGGTGATCTCCATTTCCGGCATTCTTGAATATCTAGCCATGAAATCTTGCAACTCTTCCTCAGATAGAGGATCATGCCTCCACCCAAGAAAGCGATAAACCTTGCCGTAGGGAAACCCATCGCGAATCCAGGTGATATCAGCCGGGTACGAGAACGCCTGTCCGAAAGTGGCTGCATTTGCGAAGAGATCGTCTCCGGAAGACTCTTCCCCTTGCAAATCTCGCAGCCACCTTCGACGTGCATCCCACACATCTCGCTCAGTGTCTTCCTCAGCAGGTTCAAAAAGATACGCAAAGTCGAATTTGTCCCATTGCATGCGGATTCCGTACAAACACCAGAACAAACGTCGTGTAGATTCATGAGCGGCTTGAAGGTCACTCGCGGAATGGCGGGCCACACCCTGTGCCTGCAGTTCAACATCGATACGGCCCTTACGAGAATGATAAAGCACGGGTGCCTCCCCAGCCGCGAAAGATGGAAGGTCGACTCGGGTGAGCATGCGGATTGGAGAGAAGCCTGGTATGACAATGCGAGTAGCTGTCCAAGCCGCATCCGTTAATTCATCTTGCCAAGGATTCATTTGGCTAGTGACGGAAGCCATGCTAGATCGCTTCTCGACATCTTTCAGGAGATTCTTGACTTCCTCTCCCAAATCAGGCTCGACCGTGCTGGTCAATGGCAGGAGATGCTCATTTAGGAGGTTGGCGTTATAGAGGGCGAGGTATGCCTTGTATGCAACGTGCCGGTATGCAGATTGTTTTGTAGGGTATTCACGGTCAACTGAGAAGATGCGAAGTTCCGCTGGGAGCCGTCTTGGCAAAGTCACCGTGCACCCAAATGGCCCCGGATATGGTGGGGGAACTACGCGTGTCGCAGGGTCAAAAGAGTGCCAGCCTTCGGGCATATCAGGGGGGTCGATATCATAGATGGGAAGATTAGCTGAATTTGGAATAACAGCACAAAAATGATTGAGATGAGAGACCGCTAGTAGCGGGGTAAGCACAGCCCTATTCATGGATGAGCAGGATGGCTTTGAATGCACGCATATCACTCACCCTGTAGACTTCACCTTGAAAACAGGCTCATCTGGATCAGGTTCTTCGTCATCACTGGAGACCGTTGGCCTGGAAGCACGATCAGCTAGGTAAAGGGCTGTCATCTGGGTCTCCAGATTCTCGAACTCCGCTACTCTAGCGTCGTCGATACCTGACGATTCAAACATGAGAACAAAAGAGCTGCGCCTCCTGCGAGCACGACCTCTACTTTGGGCCCAGCTCGCCATGTTGTCAGGAATATCCCACCTGATCACATTTCCACAGGCCTGGATATCAAGCCCCTCTTCCGCCACGGACGTGGCGATGATGAGGTTCCTGTCTCCAGACCGAAAGCCCTCGAGAACATCTGCCTGAGGTTGATCCTTCAGAAGTGTACGGGTGATGTCAAGAAAGGTGTTGCGATAGGAGCTTTGAGAACTTCCAAGCAGACACCCGAGTCTGAAATGAGCACTGCGGGGATGGTTCCTCAGAACCTCCGACAATGCTAACACTCCGTCACGACGTGTGACGAAGATCAAGCCACTATAAGGCTCGTTCGACGACTCCGACCAATCCTTTTCGCACTCCAATGTCTCCAAGAGGACGCGGACTTTATCCGTGATCCCAGCCTCGATGTCCGTAGGATCGTAAGAGAGAGGTGTCAGCTTGATCTGAGACAAATGTTTCATCAAGTAATTCTTCTCCTTGGGCTGTAAGGTCCCGATCAACTCGTCCCAGGGTGTTTGTTTATCTAGCGCTCGAGATACAACGCTTCCGATGTACCAGTCTGCCGCCCATGGACCGATATCATAACATATGGCTTTGCCCGCACTCGCAAGGTCGTTCATTCCACCGTGTGAGTATGTCTTCTTGCCTTGAATAGCTTTTGACAGCTTCTGGTCCATTCGTATATACTCTGGGCCTCGGGCAGTTTTCGCTAGTTTCTGACGTAGCTGTATAACGAAGGGATCCTCCTCGATGTTCATAGTAGCAATAACGGCTTCCACTGCTGATAAATTTTTAGAGGTATAGTTACGATCAGAGTATTGCGGTGTATCGTAGCGCACGTGTCGGAAAATCGGACGGTGGACATGAGTCAAGAGCTCATCCCGATTGGCTCGAGGACTACGAATAACACAGTCGAGGTTGGCTTCCAATTTCCTGGAAAGCATGTCAATAATATTCGTAGTCTCCGATCTGAGCATCATACCGGAAGGCTGCAGTAGGATTTCCACCGAACATAGGGCTAGCAGTGAGGCCCAAGACCATGGGACGTTCGTCCTGCTTAGTCGTCACACTAGAGCCGTGGGCCGCGGGGAGGCGGGGAGGGAGGGAGAAGTAAAAATCTCGCATGATGCAGCTCATGGGGTGATTTCGATCCGCATGGTGAGCCTCGTCGAAGATTAGGAGGCCGATATCCAGCCCCATATGAACGTAGCCGTGGCTGAGCGCGTCAAGGAGTACCTGCGGAGTGGAAACTATAACGCGATTGTTTCCCAGCACTCTTTTCCACAAGGTAACATCGGTCCATTGCTTTGGCTCAAGCCCCCCGTGAATTAGGCCAACAGGGACCTGCATATTATCCTTGATCACGCTGTGCTGCTGATTGCAAAGAGCCACCGTAGGCGCCAAAAACCACGACACCTAGGAAACTCTTTGCAATAAGACCTTTGAATTGCATAACCTGAACGTACCTTTTGAGAACCACGTTCTATTTCATATCTCATCCTTAAAATCGCAATCAAAGTCTTTCCAGAACCAGTATCCTGAGCGATGATTATATTTTCCTTGAGACTGGCGTCCAGCATTTCTTGCTGATAATCGCGAGTCTTTGGTATCGTATTGACAGTGACAGATGGTTCTTCCATTTTGTTCTCCATGACAGATGGGTCACAGGTGGTGGAAAGACAAGACGTGAAAGAAGGACAGCGCGCTAAGCTGATTTGTGTCAAGTCGTATCAGAGCGCCGCACCGCTCCTTCGCGCCTTATCTGTCGTACGAGAGCACAAAAGGAAAAGTGACGCCGGTAGGTGATCTTCCAGTTAGGCAAATAATAACGGGGACCTTCCTCTATGGTCGATCCACACGAGCGCTATATTGGGAGCCTCCGGATCGCGTGTCCAATGAAATCCTCAAAAGAGCAGTGGACACTGCGGACCACACAGCACAAGCCGAAGGATGTTGGGCGTGAGAGAGTTCCTCACTTGTATGTCATCGAGGCGCTCATTCTCGAGCAGCTTGGTTATGTCTCAACCAATTCCTCTCTCTCGTGTGGGGTCACCAGCTTTATCAAGATTTCTGACTGAGGAACAATCTCCGAGAAATATCGAAGACGTGTTCCCAACTACGCCATCGTTCGACCAGCCTCCAGATCATATAACTTCACCGTGGAAACGTGCCCTCTTCGACTTGCTCGAATCTCCAACATCATCTTCGTCGGCCTTTCTCGTTCACTTTGCATCAACTTCTCTCATTGTATTTTCTGCTATCGTTACAATTTTGGAGACCGTGCCAAGTTTTCACTCTATTTCCCCTCGAGTATGGTTTGGTCTAGAAACAAGTCTGGTGCTTCTTTTCACCGTAGAATACTCCGCACGTTGTGTCGCGTGGAGCTCCTCTTGGATCTCATTGGTTAAATGGATGTTCTGTGCGTGTAATCTCATCATTTCCGATATATTTTCTCACGTGGATAATCGATCATCACCCAGCCTTCTATGGGGTCATTGACATGCTGGCTATACTACCCTATTACATCGAGATAATGCTGCGGCAAGATACCGTGAGTGATCTGTTGTTTACTCACTCGCCGAACTGACTTTTGACAGTCTGTTCTGTTCCGCTTCTCCATTCTACGCATGTTTCGTCTACTGCGAGTCTTCAGGCCGTTCCGATACAATAGCACCATACTTCTGTAAGCACACACACATCTCTTGGTCCGAGGGTACATGTGATCATCATCATTTCATTAAGAACCATCGAGGTCATGTATCTGGCTGTTCGTAGATCACATCATGCATTACTTGCACTTAGTTTTTTTATTGCAATGGTGTTGACTGTGTTCAGCACGCTACTGTGTGTACCTCACCACTCTACTCAATCCGAGCCTTTTTCACTGAACGCATTGCTCAGATATTTCTCAGAACGTGGTACTTGGGACGACAATTTGGAAACGTTCATTAATTCAGACGGTGACGCAACTCAATTCCAAGTACGGACTATTCCTTGTGCGATCTTTATTTAACACTTATCTTCATATAGTCAATACCTGCAGCTGCTTGGTGAGCCTGTGTTTCTCGTCTCGTTATCTATTTTATTAAGACCCAGACAGGTTCGTGCTAGTCAGTAAGTGGGGGCCGGGCACACTGCGGCGTCGCGTCCTGCTTGCTCACTTTCGTTTCCCAAATAGCAATTACTACAGTGGGTTATGGAGAGATTACGCCTCGCTCTATTCTCGGGCGCTTGATCACAGTTCCTCTTCTTGCTTTTGGCTTGCTTCTTATTGCCCTCCCAAGCTTCGTTCTCGGTAGAGAATTCAGTCTGGTCTGGGAGCAGATGGCTGATGATGAGGTTTGTTTGTTTCATTCCCCTTGACAACTCAACTCAGCTAGATGTTCTGCTTCTCAGGGCTTCGCACGAGAACATGACCCTGCTGTGGCTGCTTTCGGTCACCATCGGCTGGAATCTCAACCTTCAGAGCCCCCCCTAAAGGACCTTTCCAATCGAAAGCTCGCTCAAAATCAAACTGAGCTGAGTCAACAGATATCAGAACTACGAGCGACGGTGGAGATGCAGAGTGAAATGATCCAGGAACTACTTGGATATCTTCGCGTAGAGGGAACAGCGAAAGGAAAGCGTAGGGAAAATGTTGTTGGAAGTGCTATGAGCTAACACATGTAGGGTTTGTAAACTTGGCTGTTGTTTCCACTCTCAGCGTCTACCGTCGGGTTACCGGGACGTGTCGGAGGTGATCTAGCGTTATCATTGATCACGCTGGTGCTTCACGTGCATGTTCTTCTTGCAGATATTAATATTGTCTGCCTCGTATGTAAGTTTGTATGTGTGTCGATGCCATCTCGAGAGCCTAGAGCCACCAGCCCCCGTCCCGATTCAGAAAGTCCATTGCGCCAAGCTTAAATGCCTCGTGCGCAAGCGAAGCTTCGGCCCTTGAAGATCTGACCAAAGCATATTGTGCCCCAGATTCGTTTTGAGTTACAAGGATCTTCCATTCGTGACCCTCTGGGTCGAATACTCAGACGTCCCTATCTCTATGAAGGCCATCGGTGCAAAGCCAATTAAACGCCGAGACGGCTCGGACGTCTCATCCTCAGCGACCCCAACACCAGTGCCCTCATCACGGACTCCCTCGAACTCGCGTCCTACCTTGAGAAGACATGCCAAGAAGCCCATCTTTCCAAACAGCTCAGAACCCCTGATACGCGCGTTCGACTCCACCCGTTTAAGCCTCCTCCAATGTTTATCTTTGCACGTTGCACAGTCCTGTCAGTGCCAAGTTCTTCATCGGAGCTCGTTCGGCGGACGGCCCATTACCATGGAATAAGAACCGTGATGCAGACTGAAGCTTCTAGCGAAGGGGTACAATGATACGTACGAACGGTACCAGAAGACCTACGGAAAGTGGATTATAGGCGATGCCTTTTCATATGCAGACGTCACTGTTGCTTCTTCTTGGCTACTGGTGTACAAATGACCTAAAGGAGGATAAATGAGTCGGGCCTAGGATCAGTTCTTGGAATGGGGGGGAATAGGCTGAAGTCCTTGCAAATGTTGAGAAAGAAGTGCTTCAGAATTCTTAAAGACTTGCGCGTGTAGGGGAGATTTGAAATGCCAAATGATACATTCCTTTGACAGGTATTGCTAATAAACTCAAACCACCATCACCATAAAGGGCGTCATCACTAGCACTTGACGTCCTTGTAAAATGCACAGCTACAAGCTACTGTAGGAATGGTCACTGCCTTCTTTATGTGTCATGGGCTGTTGGGAGTTGACCAAGCACTATCACTGGCTGTGTCCGGGACTCCGGGTATCTGATCTGACTTGACGTGAACTGCCAGTTCTTCCTGATGATTCCACAGATGCTGACAATACCCTCCGCCCAATGTGGACTAGCATGCCATCAAAGATCAACACCAGCTCAGATATACTCGGTGCTTACGAATGAAGGCCAGTCTTGAAAAGAGTTTCAAGGTTGGCCACAGCAGATCAAATTACCCGTGACAGTACTCCACGATGCAGCCACTTGTCCTGTATGACATCCTCTCCAAGCTACCAGGCAAAAACTGGTCTTCCAACCCCGCAAAGCCGAGGTTAGCACTTCGTGTTCTGCATGTCAAGGTTTGATATCTGACCAAAGTATGCTGTGTCGCAGGTTCATTTTGAGCTACAAGGATCTTCCGTTCGTGACCCTCTGGGTTGAATACTCGGACATCCCCATCGCTATGAAGGCCATCGGCGCAAAGCCAAACAAACGCCCAGACGGTTCGGACGTCTACACCGTCCCTGTTCTCAGCGATCCTAACACCGGTGCCCTCATCACGGATTCCCTCGAGATCGCATCCTACCTAGACAAGACATATCCCGAGAAGCTCGTCTTCCCAAACAACTCAGAACCCCTGATACGCGCGTTCGATTCCGCCCTTTCAAGCCTTCTTCGACCTGCTGTTAAGTTCATCTACGCACGTTGCACAGAAATATTGAGTCCTGCCAGTGCCGAATTCTTCACTAAAGCCCGTTCGGTGTACGTCCCGTTGCCCTGGGATGTGAGCCGTGATGCAGACTGGGAGCTATTAGAGAAGGGGTACAATACTCTGTACGAATGGTACCAGAAGACTGATGGGAAGTGGATCATGGGCGGCACTTTTTCGCATGCAGACATTATTGTTGCCTGTGATTTGCTGTGGTACAAACGAGTTCTGAAGGAGGATGAATGGGCCAGGATCAGTTCTTGGAACGGGGGAAAATGGGCTCAAGTCCTTGCAGATGTTGAGAAGGAGTGTAAATTGGCTTAGAGGACTACGTATACTATATGATTTATTTCAGGGAAGCTTGGAAGAATGATGAATTCTATAAGCCCAAGCTGGAATGAGGTGAAGCTACGCGACAACATGCTAGAGACCTGGTCTACGCGCTGACTAAGCTATGGAAAGGGCCGACAGGCCCTTGGGACCCTGGTCCAACGTTCACGCGCACGACCTAGGGTCCCGGTCAACGGCGGTCGTGTTGATCCCAAGCTTAAGCCGGCCCGCCAGACTCGCGTGGCGAAATCGAAACAGCGCGGCCGATGAAACAAGTACTAAGTGTATAAATATTCATGAACTCGGAGTCCGAGGAGTCTATTAATACGATGATGTCATGATTCCACGTGACTGCGGCCTCAATTGGTCTTGTACTATGGCATAGTGCGGCGACCTGCAAGATGGCAACCAGCTGTCACATCACCCCGCTTCATGCACACCCTGAATCCGGGATTCACAAGGAGAAATAAAAGAAAACTGCGGGGAAAATGTGCTGACACGTATAGGAATTTGTGACTCGGCTGTTGTTTTCACTCTCACTGGCCACAGCTTGATTTAGTGTCAGCCTGAGGCTGCCGCAAATCCGACCAGGCTTTGGCGACCTTCAAGCTGGCCTGTTACGACTTGATGTGTAAAGATGCGGTAAAATTCCAGCAATATTACTCACCGTGGTGCGTTGTCTTTACCCACACGTTCTCCATGAGGAATTTTAATGTGTCATTATGCAGTACATCCGACATATGCGCTAATCAAACTTAGATGATTCAGCGAACGAATGAATCGGAAGCTCAGCCTTGTGCACCGCAAAAAAGTCTCGATATTACTACACTGCAGCACTTCACGCTGTCTTTACACCCCATGTCCCAGTACTCCACGATGCTTCCACTTGTTTTGTATGATATCGTCTCCAATCTACCGGGTAATCACTTTTCACCCAACCCCGCCAAGACAAGGTCAGTAATACATGTTATGCATGTCACTTGAAGCTTTAATGTTTAACCAAAGTCTATTTGCCCCAGGTTTGTGTTGAGCTACAAGAATCTCCCATTCGTGACCCTCTGGGTCGAATACTCAGACATCCCCATCGCTACGAAGGCCATCGGTGCAAAGCCAAACAAACGCCGGGACGGCTCGGAAGTCTATACTGTCCCCGTCCTCAGCGATCCCAACACGGGTGCTCTCATCACGGACTCCCTCGAAATTGCATCCTACCTCGACAAGACATATCCCGAGAAGCCCATCTTCCCAAACAGTTCAGAACCTCTTATATGCGCGTTCGAACCCGCCTATTTAAGCCTCCTTCAACATGCTATCAAGCTTATCTTCGTGCGCGGCACAGAAATATTGAGTCCCGCCAGTGTCAAGTTCTTCATTAAAGCTCGTACGGTGGACGTCCCGTTGCCTTGGGACGTTAACCCTGACGCAGACTGGGAGCTACTAGAGAAGGCGCATAATACTGTGTACGAATGGTACCATAAAACTGATGGAAAGTGGATCATGGGCGACACTTTTTCGTATGCAGACATCATTGTTGCTTCTTGGCTGCTGGCGTACAAACGAGTGCTGAAGGCGGATGAGTGGGTCAGGTTCAGTTCTTGGAATGGGGGGAAATGGACCCAAGTCCTTGCAGATGTTGAGAAGGAGTGTACATTGTCTTAGGAGAAGACTTGCATGTATATATCAATCGATTCAGGGGCATGGAAACGATAATAAATGCTTCACAAGTCGCCTCAGTTGAAGTCCTTTGGACCTCGCCTGTACATACGATGACGATGCGCATGTTATACAGCAATAAGTTTGCTAGCACACCGAAGTATCGATCAGCGCTCAGCTGTCAGAAAACCAAACACGTTCGATGATGAAATCGCAGCAAGCCACGCATAAATCGCCGCAAACGGCACCTTGACTAAACTTGAATGACAAGCTCTCACACCAAAAATACTGTGTACTTCCTGTGTACCAATAAAATCCAGGACAGCTGAATGCTCCAAAAATTGGCAAATCCATTTGGTTTCTGTGGAATTGTAGTCACCGTTAACGTGGAGGGTTGGTTGAAATCTATAAAAAAAACATGTTGTGGCGGAATCCAGAGTATCTCACAGGTTGCCAACTTGCAGGTGCATCTGGCTAGAGCAGGCCTCATGGAAAATGCTGGGAGTATATACTTTGAGGTCGGATTTGGAGTGAACAAGTGACCATGGGCGGAGGCTTTGCCACGTCATGTACATGTAGCACACCAGGCCGGGCGCACATAGTATAGTGTGGCCGAGACAACGCATAAGCTGGCAACTTTTTGACCTGGGCTTCGTGTTTAGTGCTGGCGATGTTAGAGGGTGCCAAGCCAGCTCGTACTAGGCACTAGTGCTGCCACTATGAAACGGATACCGCCTTGCCAGCGGATGAGTAGCATACGGATGCACCAGTGAGACCAGAGTGGCTGAACGATTGCCGCCGGCCGTAAAACCACGTTCCAGAGCTTTGATGGGTTCTTTGTAGATCTGTTGGAAATGGAGATCATCACAATGGCTCTTGAGGGAAATTTTCGCTAGTCACAGCTGCACCAATATTAGTCGTGGTCCTGGCATCAGTGCGAAGAAAGCCTCCACGTAAAGGCGAAGGCAGTGAGTTTGAGCATATTTGGGACCCGGCGTCGTGGCGTTGATGAGTCGGTAAATGATTGGTAGCTCTTTGCTTTATTAAGCAACGTACGTGAGCAAAGACGCTAACTAAACGAGCACGAGGTTGAATTGTGGGATGGCCGTGACACCAATTACTCATTGTGCATCATTCATCGGAATTTGTTCATTCGGGTAATGAATTGAGAATTGAGAAGAAAAAATTCACAGCTCATGCAGAGAAACGTATATAATGCAACATTCATGGGTTCAACGCTACATCAACCAAAGTCAGCCTTCAGATTTCCAATGCAGCCCATCATACTGTACGACATACCAAGCAAGGCCTCAAACAATATATGGGCTCCAAACCCTGCAAAGACCAGGCAAGTCGCGCGGTCAGAGCTAGATTGCTGCATGTTGCTGATATGCAGACGTTAGGTTTTGCCTGGCATACAAGGGTCTCCCGTATACGGTCGTCTGGGTAGAGTTCAAGGATATTCCCTTGACGATGAAAACACTTGGTGCTTCAACTACGGAAGGGGACAGGTACACCCTTCCAGTGATCAAGGATCCCAACACTGGATCCATCGTCGCCGAGTCGCTGGCGATCGCTGAGTACCTGGACAAGACCTATCCAGAGAAGCCAATCATACCACGCGGCGCCGACGCTCTTATAGGGTTATTCGAGCCTGCATACTGCAGCGTTGCCTACGGAAACGTAGTCAAGCTCATCTTGACGAAGACCCTCGAAATTATGAACGATTCAAACAGGGAGTACTTCATTCGGACTCGCTTGGAGCTGCTCGGCGAAACGCGCTGGGAAACTGTGTCAGGAGAGAACGCACAGCAGCAGTGGGAAGAATTTAGGAAGGGTCTTGATGAAATCGATAAATGGTACCAGAAAAGTGGCGGGAAGTGGATTATGGGGGACACCTTCTCGTTCGCGGATATGGTGGTGGCTTGCAGAACGATGTGGTGGAACAAAATATTTGATGAGGAACAACTCCGTGAGCTTCATTCTTGGAATGGCGGGCGATGGGCGCGTGTCTTGGCAGACGTGAATGCGGAGTGCGGTACAAATCTGTAGGAAGCCAATGTAGTCACGGTAGCTCGGGTATTTTTATGTAAAGCTTTGACGACTCAGTGCACGTGTGTGACAACGTTAACGGCACAAGGCGTTCGGAGTTATAATATGTGGTGCTCAAGCTGCTTCGGCTGGTGTCGGTATATCAAACTGTCCCAGCGGCCGTGCACGCTTGAGCCGCGGCGCGTGAGCTTTTGGTACAAAATCATGTCGGTTCTCTGGCGTTGTTGATGAGTGACACATGTTCAAGGGAAAGGTGCTGTCGAACGACTCGAACCTGCGGCTATCATCAAGGCTACAAGTTGGTCCGTTGTCTTATTCATGGGTATCAATAGTACTAGCTAACGTTGCTTTTCTGATCGAAATTACTCATTTATAGCGCATATAGTCACACCGCCAGGTCGAGCTGCTGGGTAACTGTTACTAAGTGCCAGTGCGTACTTTCCATCATTTGTGTTTGCCCCTGTGAAAACATGTGTTGATTTGATTCATCCTCGCTACATTAAAGATGAGGCGTGAACAGTTGAGTTCAAATCCTAGATTTGACCTTCAAATGTGTTGGGAGTGCGATAATAACGATCCATGTGCAGTACTGCCGGTTGCCGATGAAGTGTTGAGTTGATCTGTTGATACCCCTCACGAGAGCCACCTCCACCCGGCGCCTGCGACGGTGATTGCGACGGTAGCTCATTGCCTGTGAACTGCGTGTGCGAATTATGACCATGGTAAGGAGTTTTACCTTGCTGAGAACTGCTGAGTTTGATGAGTAGTTGGGTACAGCAGGTCTCATCGATCTCATCAGTGGTTTTGCCTGCTTTCATGCACATGCTGCTCATGATAGTGACCTAGGTCTGGCAAATGTCGTAGGCTCGGAAGACGTACATCACTACAAAGTTTCGGAAACCATCCTGCTGTATACTGCTCTGCAGGCTATGCAAAATAAGACACTCTTATTCTGTGTCAACAATATCTAATCATCTGTACTCTCTTTGTTGTAGACCACGAGAAAATCAGGCCGTAGCAATGTATGGTTTCCAAAGAATTTCGGTGACGCGTGAAGCGCTACGTTCATTTGGTCGGGGGTGCGATACATGTTGGCCATCTGGTGAAGGTCAATTCCTCCAGCACTTTGGCTTGGCTTAGTCACAGCACTGCGGCTGGGACGGCGTTGAGAGCCTTATGCAAACATCGAGCACTGGAAGAGGTCAAGGGATTGATTGCTCAGGAAAGCCTGCCATGAGCGAATCCCTAGAAGTAGTAGTATATAAAGGAGATGCTCTACTTTCTCTATTTGCCTAATGGTATGTTTATTATTGCTACTTCTACCTCTACCCTGTCAGGTTAATTCTCCGTTGCTGCAGTGAGTGTTTGCAAGACAACAAAGCTAGGACCTCTACGAAACATTAGGTACATACATGCCGACTGTACTGAAACATGCATATTAAAAAAAAACCTTTCGGGTTCCTTTGGGACCCGAGTTCCCTAGCGATTACCCCATCACACCCCGTGCAACTTCTTGTTGGAGTCTAGCGTTCCATCCCATCCCTTAATCCAACCTCGGATATCCCTAAGTTGGTTGTATAATTCCTCAAGAGATTCGCCCTCCTCTGAGACATGATCGCAATGTTCAGCTGGGTTGTGCCAACCTGCGAATGAAGCCGAGCGGCGAAGGCTATCCGGAGGGCGGATTGCAGTGGTCGTGTTTGGAAGGACTGGTCGTTGAAGGCGTGGGTACATTGGCCTTTCTTCTGCGCGAAGATCAAGCTTTCGGGGAAGAGGAGCATCATTGCCGTTCCTCCTCCCTCTTTCCTCGGCTACCGGATGAAGGATCGATGGTTGACTTCTGAGGCCAGCAGATTTGTCATCGACTCTTAGTGGCATAATTTGCCGTGGCGCACTACGCAATTGTGTTAACGGTGATTTATGAGCGCCCCGGTCAAGCCCTGGCCTAGTTCGTTGGATAGGTGGGGGAGAGGGGACGGGAAGCGCATCGAGGGATATCTGAGCGGCGACTCGGGGAATTTTTACCGAAGTCTCGACTGCTGCTGCTTCGCCTCCCTGTTTTGCCTTTCGAGCAAGAACGGCGGTCGTCACTTGAGCCAGCGTAGGGAACACTTTTTCTTTTTTGGCAGACCAACCATCCTGGGCACCTATATTTTGTTGATGCGTTGGATTGGCAGGTTGACTCGGAGGGATGGGGAGGGCTGAGACATGCTTCGTAATCGGAGTTTTCTCCCCTGCCTTGCGCCTGTATATGACAGGCGGAATAGCACCACAGCTGACATACGCCTTCCGTACGACCTTCCGATAGTGGGAATCTTCTCCCCCGAGAGCAGTCAAGGCATCCGCGCGAGCACACTCCGGCGAGCAGAAGCAGAAATCGTGATTTTCCACCGTCAATTTTCCGCAGAAACATTTCGTAATGCCCATATGGGCTTCTGAAAAAGGATTTTGGCGAACGTGAGTGTTCATATTGTATGGGCGCTTGGCGTAGAATTGAGTGGGGCAGTGACTCACTACTCATGCTAGATGTAAGAGCTTTATAGCCATCCAATCTTCGCTTGCTTTGGGAAGTGGACTATGGCAAAGCCACTGGCACGTACAATGGACAAAATTATCTGTGGAATGATGAGGCTGTGGATGCGCCCCTGGGAGCGTTTGACCGTGATTATTGTGCAGCGCAGGCACTGAACACGACTCTGGAAGCATAACCACCAGCGAAGCGACAAGCGAATAGAATGCTCAATTTGAGAGGTCTATGCTCATAGGCATGTACGCAGCAGCCCTCTCGAATGCCAAAACCGTCATAAAGGTTTGAATGAGCCACCCTGCCACGATGCAATTATGATGGCACCTGGAATGCACGGAACTGAGCTTTGACTGGATCTTTACTGGCCAGACAAAGCAAAACAAATTTGCTATAATCATATTAATCATTATTTATAACTTGAAAGGCCTATAGACACATACCTTGCTTTGATCTAAAACAAATCGACGACCAAGCATCCTCGGATTTAGAAAAGTGGACATCTCAAGGCCATCCGGAATGTGGTCTAGACTCCCTTCTAATCATGATTAGTACCTGCGCGTGGATGACAACTGTGGTTGTTCGGTGTACGCAAATTGTGTTGGAGTCTGGCAAGTTTATGTGAATGATTAACGGCTGACTACGCTACGTGGCTTCTGCCAAAAACGATCGTCTCATCTACTTCCAGGTAGTTGTCTTCGACTATTTGCCAATCTTGCTTTTTCTAGTACTTCACATATAGATTCAACGTAGCTGGTCTACTCGTGGCTGATCTTGAGAACGATTTGAAGACAAAGAACTTTCAGATTTGCTCGAAATTTAGATGTCTGATTCATTCGCAGACCTCTGGAGCTCATCTGCCCCGTCCAATCCCACATCTCCGCAGATACTTGGGGCTGCCAAACAACGAACAACCATTCCTCAACGGTCCCAGGATACATTCTCCATTCTTTCCGCTTCTCAACCAGCCTCACGCACGCATTCCCCCCATGTCACCGGTCCCACCACCCAGCCACGAAACCCTGTGCCAGCAGGTGGAGCGAGAAATGTAGATGCATTCAGTAGTCTTTTTTCTGGCTCGTTAGCGGATGGAAAAAATAACAATACCGCCAACATGACCATAGCTGAGCGCGCGGCAGCGGCTCAGAGAGCAAAGTTACAGCAAGCCCAGGCACCTCCCAGGACCACTGCGCCCTTACCATCTGCTTGGGACGGGCTTGATTCTCTTGCACGACAGTCGACACCTTCACATCCTTCACCCTCTCGTTCACCACAGGTCGACTTTGATTTCTCTGCGTTTGCATCTTCTTCAGCCACTATCGTGAAATCACCAGTGGGAGATAATGATTGGACTTTACCTGACTCCACAGCTCCTCAACCACAGTCTACTTCTCAAACAAAGCCTGCAGGAACGCTCTGGGACCTTGATGATTTTGAATCATCTTCTCATTCTTCCTCTAATTCCCCAATCCCTCCTCGCTCACGTACACCTGGTGACTTTGACTTTGGTAATCGTGAGGATGGCCTTTTGGAGGCCCACTCCGATGATGGTAATGATGACATCTTGGGTGACCTGGCACGACCAGTCGATGCAGTCAAACCGTCTTCACACGTATGTCGCACTAAAGTTCCCCTGTCGATTTGCACTCATCGTTCATTGATCGGGCAGAATCAATCGACTCGTGCTACACCATCGCCTCAAGCTCCACAATTGCAGCGTCTTTCATCAAGACCTGTCTCACCACCTCCTCACATCGTCGGGCAAATTGTAGAAATGGGATTCTCTCCCCAACAAGCGCGTATAGCGCTTGCAGCTACGGATACCGGTCTCGATGTACAAGCCGCTTTAGAGACTCTACTCGCAAATGGTGCTGGTAATTCCTCCACCCCACCTCCATCGTCGCATGACTACGAAGTTCGACCGCCCCCACGACGCCCACCAAATCAGCGTATTAGCTCAAACCGAGACCGAGACCGAGAAGTACTGCGTAGTACCGAACCAGAAACACATCAATCTCCAGATCTTAACGTGCAAGCGGAGAAGATTATCGCACAAGCTAGTGAAATCGGTATAAGCGTTCTTAATCGCGCAAATGCTTTCTGGAAGGAGAGCAAGGAGAAAGCACAGCGGATATATGAAGAACGTGCGGCTGTGGCTCGAGCTGGGGCAGGGACCAAACGAGGAGATGGGAGACCGCGTTGGATATCGGACGAAGTACCGGACAGAGCTGGTGTAGAGCAACAGGATAGGAGAGTGACTGATGGGTTCAAGGATGACGATCAAACCCCCCCTCCGACTAGACGATTAAGACAAGATGGGCCCACTAGACAACCTCCCTCACAGCCTGTCGAATTGCCATCGCAGTCTCAACCGAAAGAAGTGGATCTTCTCTCATCTGAGGCCCCCGTTTATCAGTCTCCATTCCGACGTGGTCGCCCAACACCACAGCCTCAGCCTCCCGCAGCTCCTTCCCATCCTACTCCTGTTCCCTCACCTCCGAAGCCACAACGTGTACTGGTTCCCGCATCGTCTTCAGCCCTCTCAACATCTGCTTCACACAAAGCCACGGGCACGTCAGCATATAAACTCGGGCAGTATGCAAATGCAGAATCAGCTTATTCTCTTGCCATTGCTACACTACCAGCCTCACACATCCTCCTCGTTCCGCTGTACAACAACCGTGCGCTCGCAAGGCTCAAGACAGGTGAGACCCGTAGCGCAATAGAAGACTGTGCAAGCGTGATAGAGATAGTCGGTGATGACAGAGGCGTTATCGAGGGGGTAGATTTAGGGGATGCCCTTGTGAAAGCTTGGCGAAGACGTGCAGAAGCCTATGAGGGGAGAGAGAAGTGGGAGGATGCAAGGAAAGACTGGGAATCAGTTGCGGGGGCTGCATGGGCGCCATCGAATATACGTGCCGAAGGCGCGCGTGGAGCTGGACGATGCAGACGGATGCTCAATTCCAATGTTGACGAGGACGCCCCCGTACCAAAACCCAAGCCAAAGCCCAAAGCCCCATCGGTCAAGCCCGCGCCAACGCATTTCGACTCGGGGGCGCTCAAGGCTTTGCGTGCTGCGACCAGTGCAGCTGAAGCCGAAGATAATCAGCGGCATGAACTCAAGGACTCTGTTGATGCTCGGTTGATAGCATGGAAAGGCGGGAAAGAAGCTAACATCCGTGCATTGATTGCTAGCCTCGACTTGGTGTTATGGCCAGAGCTGAAATGGCAGAAAGTGGGGATGCATGAGCTTGTGTCGAATGCTCAAGTAAAGTCTCGTTACACGCGTGCCATTGCGCGTGTACATCCAGACAAGGTCAGTTATTATTATGACAGTTCCTGGGTCCCGTCAGATATCGATATGTTGTCTTTGTCACATCTACCGTTTTCTTGGCCTAGATCACGAAAGCTGACCATATCTCCTGTAGCTGAACGCGCAAAATACCACTGTTGAACAGAGGATGATCGCCAATGGGGTGTTCGGTGCTTTGAATGAGGCGTGGAACGCGTTTCAACAGTGATACCTATTCAGTACAAGGATTCGCCCTGTAATAATGGGAGGTAATGTGGGACTACATCTCACACATACCTTAAGCTTGGTTTCAATACGGATGCCGATTTTTTTAATGTTTCTTCACGTGACCACGCGACAGGCGGAGTACAGAAAACAGAATACCAACCATACAATGGGAGGTCTTTGACATATAAGTACCGGTTCTCGTCTGTCTTTCCTTTTATTGTCAGTCCGTTACACGCAACTGAGGGTGCGTCCCGCTGTTTCTTATTCCATGCTAGCTAGACACTAAAGTACTAATCTATCGACAATAGGACTGACTTGTCTATATATTTCATCAAAGTATACAGTCTAGGCCCAGCACGATCATGGTGGGACAGATTGCAGACCCAAGGTGGGTTCATGGATGCATGTCATCTTAAACATCCTAACAACTCGGGCGCGTAGCTTGGGAGATACGGAACACACATCAGAAACAACCTTCGAAGCCATGGATTTGAGTGGACAAGAGGCACAAGGATGCCAGCAACCCGCCGAGGGCATTCAAGTACCTCTTGCTCGTTCGTGCTCGAGGAAAGGAGGGGAGCATCAGAATGACCTTGCTCCACTCTTCCGTCTCCCAGACGAGATCCTCGTGGAAATAATAAAGCACGGCGGTGAGACGAAGACAGATGGGAGAGGCGACAGTTTGGAGAAGACGGTGTCGCATGTGTCCATGCGATGGCGAACTATAGTCATCTCTAATCCGTCACTATGGACCCATATCTCTGTGTGCCCGGAGGAAACACCATCATTCCTTCTAACGCGTGTTCATCGTTCTTTGGATATGCCTATTGATATCGACATATGTCCTTGGCCAACGCCGTTCTCCAGAGCTGCACCACAGTCGTTACTTGTTCAACTGAACATCATTCTCCGTTATGCAAGTCGGTGGCGCTCACTCACTCTTCGGTCTGGACTGGTGGAACCGATGTTCTCTTTTGTTTTTCTTTATTTTACGCGTTACGGAACATATCTACCATCCCTCGAATGTGTGAGGCTATATGGTTCTGAGATGCAAGTCCACCTTTGGTCGCGGGCCCTCTTTTTCGACGAGCCTTGTACTCCAAGGCTTTCTACCCTTGAGGTTACCAACATGAAGATACAGCCTGCCATAAATGCCTGCAACTCGACAATCACAACTCTAGTCCTCACAAAAGATATACCATCAGAGATTGTAATTATGACTTTCAACGATTTCATGCGTGTTTTCGCCTCATTTCCTTTCCTCGCTTCATTGGTAACCTACGGTCTCGTGGTCGACATTCCTTCATATCAGTCGTTCACTGGCAATCACCAGTACCCCACCCTCCGCACCCTAGGCATCCATCGCATCGATGACGCGCGTTTTTCCTCGTTGATCGTCACTCTTGCATTAATGTTTCCCGGTGTTACACACCTCAATTTGACAGGGCCGTGGGCTGCTTCCTCGTTACTCGAGGCTGTACGACAAGTATCTGCAGATCAGATATGGCCAGGCCTCCAGAAACTCGTGCTGAATACTTTTATTGGCCATGGATGGTCACAAATCCATCCATTCCTTGAAACGCATAGTGGTGGGGACGGCAAATATAGGGCACACTGACAAAAAGGATGGCGAATTTCATCCCGTTGGGATTGTTGGTCATGGAGGACAGGATGCTAAAGTGGCGTTTTCAATTGGACCTTTATGGCACACGTCGGACTACAAGATCAGAAAATGCATGGTGGGTTCTGTGGAATCGATTTTTACTTCATATACTATGATACAACTGCAGATTTGTACATACAGTAAGTACTAGTGTTTGATCATGCACACGCATGATGTCTTCAAGAATTAAGTTACATACGTATTTTCTCCCTATACAGTTGCACGCTGAGCGTCGTTCGTACGTTTTATGTACAGCCATGCACAGCAGGGAACGTCATCAGGGATCGAGAAGACCCCGTATTTTGCCAAGCGCTCATAATCTAGTTCCAACCCGCCATCGCCGCAAAAGCCTTCTGGTGTTTATCCCTGTCAGCTGGTACGTTATAGCATGATCAATCGATATGAAGTTGCAGTAGGTGGTTCCCTTCTGTTCGTACGTGATTTCCCATACAATCTCTTGTGAACATGCCTGGATTGTTATCATTATGGGCTGACAAGTATCGAAACTACCGTCCATTGTATGCACCACAAAATACTATGCGTGATATGAATTAGCTAAGCTCGTCAAGTTGCTCTGGGGTAATGATATCTGTAAGGCCGAAAAAATCGTCATCACTCGTAGACCGCTTGGTGGAGGTAGAGGTAGAAGTGCTATTTAATGCGTCCTCAGCACCCTCCAAAGCAACTGTGATCTGCTGGAGAATGCTTTCGATATCAGAGGAGGCGCGCTTCTGGTCATCAGCGCGTCCCAAGTCCGTGTCAAGCTCGCGCTTCGTACTGTTGCTGCTTCCATCAAGGTCAGACAGTATTGTCGCAATAGTACCTCCCGCACTAACAATCCCCGCCGTCTTCCCTAAAATGCTTGAGACGCTAGAGGGGATCGTAAAGCTGCGGTCTTCGAATTGGTAGGCTGGTCCACCCAAAGCTCCATTGACATCAGCTCCGTCAGGAGTTTGGTCCAAGTCCCGCTTAGTGCTGTTGCTGCCATCAAAGGCGTTCACAATCTCATTAACACCTGATCCCAGGCTAATGACACTCCCGATATCTTTGAGCCAGGTAGACGCAGTGCTGCGCTCCTCGACGGGAAGGATAGAGTCCGCTTCACGTTTGACGTTAATATCGCTCAACACAGAGCTACCTTCTTGCAGGATAGCCTGGAGCGCTGCAGTGACGTCTGCAGTGATATCGCGCTTCCTTGCGAAGGGCAAGTTGTTTAACGCTGCTGCGATGGCTTGAACGATATCGGAGGTAGTGTCACGTTTGGAACCAAGCGACAGACTTTCCCCTGGCAGGATCACTGTCCCTATCCGGGGAGTGGCGAAACCGTTGCGTACAAATGTATCGACGACCGTATTGTCATCCGTTGACGCTGTATCCTGTCTGGAAGTGATTCGATGGAGACTGCGAATGCATTCAGTGGGTCTGCTCGACGATTGTCTGCGAGGAACGTACGAGTATGGGGCAGGCGCTGCAAGACTTGGGACGGTTGAGGCTACGGCGGCGAGAGCGACAAGGGCAGCAAAGCGCATGATGGTCTTGAAGGTCTTGAATGAGTGAGGCTCGTAGAAATTTGGAAATCAGCGGCGGGTCGAGGTATGTGAGAATGAGAAGTTAATAGTAGCTGAATGAGAGTGTACGAAGTTTTCAAAAACAATAGGCTGTAACATGGTGAAGTTAGTAGAAGGCAATCGGATGGGATAGAATGAACGTACTGCCTGCACCTGGGTGAGCCGTGAAAGCGAAGGAAGTAAGAGGGCTGAGGAGTTAGCAGCTGAAGTGCACGCCTTTTAAACAGGAGAAGATCATAGCTGACGCATCAGGTTGTGCCTCCCCCCACAGGTCATAGGGTCCTACGCGTTTCAGTAGTTGGATACACTCCTTGAAACTTACCTGTGCTGCGTTGATGCCTTGACTTCCATCGAATGATGAGTAGTTTGAAGATGGACATCCGCTTTAGGATGCTAAAATGTTGACGCGGCACTGAGCCTATATTGACCCGGCCTTGATACGGCATGGGTGAAACTTGAAATGGGGCGCCGGACATGGGAAACTTGATGAACTGTCCGACATAGCGGGGACGGGCGGGTAACCAGCATCTGCAGAAAAGTAATCTACTGGACACCGCTTAAGTGCACTGTGGAGTCAGAGTCCAGATGAGTCAATAGAGACCGCTCAAAGGTTTGTGACATGCCACTACAAGGTGGTTCATCTGCATCCTCCGGTATAACTCCATGTACGGCGTACTGTAGAACTGTGAGTGACTGGAGACGGTGTATACTTTTGCAGCCACTATTTGCTGTGACTCTTGTGGCGGAACTACGAAGTCCGTGGCTCGCTGTCATGTCAGTACCATTAATGCCATTTCGTACTTTCCGTGGAAGAATTTGTGATTCACTGATGATATGTAACTGGTCATGGGGAAATCGAAGTAAGAAAAGGAAAACATAGTAAACAATTACATGACGCTGGTCAAATATTATCTGGATCTGACAAATATTTATTCGTCAGATATGGCTCAAGATGAGGTAACTAAATCAGCTAGTAGGTAGAAGGGAGGTGTCGGGAGTATCAGCAATATGCGCAGCATATGCTGACATCCCAACATGACCTTGCGTGCCCATTATAGCAGACGGATCCCATGCATGAATCCACTGCCTGCCGATGGTCGAGATGCCTGGGTCTTCATCACCACCAGCATTATGGGCCAGCCGTAGTGGGAGGTGCGCATTCGGGTGGTGGAGAGGGGCGTAAGCAGTGGTGTTGGTGGAAGGACGATGTGCAGCCAAATCATCCTTGAGGTCCCGGAGTGAAATAGTCAGATGTCCGAGCCACGACAACATCGACCTCCACGACATCCGAGGCATTGAGGTGTTGCTCCAATGCTGTCAAACGTCGACCGAAGATCTCCTCCACCATACCCACTCTTGCATCCAACGCATCCACCCGTTCATTTGTAACAAGGAGATCTAATCTCCTGCCGAGGTTATGGATGCCCTGCATGATGTCCCTTCCAGTTGGCTCAGGGTCCTCAATCTTGTCAAAGGCAATTGCAACCTCCTGCTTTGTCTCGAAGGTTTGAGGCCCCTCCAGCTTATTGTCAACCTGACATTGGCTTGCCAGTCCAGGTATCCTAATCGTGTACTGTCCAGTGGCCGCGTCACGCTCCAAGTCGTGTTCTCGGTAAGCGCAGTGAGGTCTTGCGACCAGAGGGTGTTGCATCGACCTAGGAAGATTTCGGCCTCTTGATAGTCTGACGTGATGTAGGCACGCAGGACCGGGGTGAACTTTGCCGTGCAACTATTATCTTTCCTTTCGCATTATGAGTACTCCGAAGGAGAAATAGAGTAAACATGTCATACTCAACATTGGGGAAGTAGAGTGTGGGCGTGGGCATTAACTCTCCATTGTCAATGAAGCCTAGAAGTGGACAATACACTCAGGTGAAAGAAGAGGAGACAATGATGAGTCACAAACCAAATGCGAGATCTTGAACGGTCCCAGTGTTGTTAAAGACCTGCACGACGCCGGAGGTTCCCGTCTGAGAGGGCTACACGAGATATTCGTCATAGTTGAGATAACCATCAACGGGAGCCAGACTTACAGAGAAATGATCTTTGTCTTTTGTCAGGGTTGCCTTATGGCCGTGCTGCATCACGGCTTGCATTGGTGCTAGAAATAACAGGGTAGATGATAGTCGCTCACATCGATCTTGACGGAGGTTCCAGTGCTGAATATCCTCTCATCCGAGGCCTGGGTTGTAGAGAAAGCAAGCCTATACACCAAATAAGCGAATTTCATGACTATTGTTCTCGTTGATCATCTTACTGGTCCGTGTAAGTCGCACGATACCTGTATGGACCTGGAGAGAAGGATTATATATGAGTTAGCAACTTGGCAGTAAAAGGACGCGAACACTCACCCATCTTCCCAAATTTCATGACCCTGAAAAATTGCGAAGTCAGAAATTGTCCCAGGCGAAAATAGGCCCGCTTACTTCTAAACTATCGAGAAAGTGTCCTTGTATAACCCTGGCAGGTCGCAATGCTAAGCGAGCGTGATCGTCGCCTCCCGGTCGAGGTTGTTGCTGCAAAACGATGGCGAGTCGGGTGAGAAATTTAGGTAGAGTAGGATCACAAAGATACTCACCACTGGAAGTTCAAGGTCCTGGTGAAGGAGTGTGACATTGTTTCGAATCGTCGCGGTGTACTAGTTGTGATTGAATCTGAATTGAAGAGCTTAGTTAGAGGCTCAATTGATAAGGGAATCCGTCGCATAAGCTGTACATACCTATATATCCAGATTGTAAAATAGAGCGCCTTTTTCACCCGAGTCTCGATGTCCAGTGGGTTATTTTAGGTGCCTGGCATGGTCCTCGAATGGAAAAACACTTACCACCTGGACCAAGCCGCTGCCACTGTGTCCCGAATTGCAGATTATGAAATTCGACACAGCCACTTGGAACTAAAACCGATCAACCCATCCGAGAACACCACTGCTTCACCATGAAGGCTATCATATACTCCTACTTCCTTCGCTTTCACGGCTCACCCAGGTGCAGGCAGTATGCTCATTTGGGGGCGCCTTCTACTGACCCCACCATCTTACAGCCTGTTGTGTTTGACTCTCATTCACCCATTAACTTCGTATTTTCACAAACCTCGACTCGCCGTTGATTTCCGAATTTCTATGAGCCCACTCATTCAAGACCTTAAGACCATCAGGCGCTTTGCTGCCCCTGTAGCCCTCACTGTCGTTGTAGCCTCGACCGTCCCAAGTCTTGCAGCACTTCCTCGTACGTTCCTCACAGATTGATCAATCAAAATGAAGTCACAATAGGTGGTTCCGTTCCTTTCGTACGATCTCTTGTGAACATGCCTGTCTGTCATATACCAAATATTATAGCCTGTATCATTATCATTATGGGCTGCAGACAACTATCGAAACTACCGTCCATTGTATGCACCACAAAATACTATGCGTGATATGAATTAGCTAAGCTCGTCAAGTTGCTCTGGGGTAATGATATCTGTAAGGCCGAAAAAATCGTTATAACTCGTAGACCGCTTGGTGGAGGTAGAGGTAGAAGTGCTATTTAATGCGTCCTCAGCACCCTCCAAAGCAACTATGATCTGCTGGAGAATGCTTTCGATATCAGAGGAGGCGCGCTTCTGGTCATCAGTGTGTCCCAAGTCCGTGTCAAGCTCGCGCTTTGTACTGTTGCTGCTTCCATCAAGGTCAGACAGTATTGTCGCAATAGTACCTCCCGCACTAACAATCCCCGCCGTCTTCCCTAAAATGCTTGAGACGCTAGAGGGGATCGTAAAGCTGCGGTCTTCGAATTGGTAGGTTGGTCCACCCAAAGCTCCATTGACATCAGCTCCGTCAGGAGTTTGGTCCAAGTCCCGCTTAGTGCTGTTGCTGCCATCAAAGACGTTCACAATCTCATTGACACCTGCTCCCAGGCTGATGACACTCCCGATATCTTTGAGCCAGGTAGACGCAGTGCTGCGCTCTTCGACGGGAAGGATGGAGTCCGCGTCACGTTTGACGTTGATATCGCTCAACACAGAGCTACCTCCTTGCAGGATAGCCTGGAGCGCTGCAGTGATGTCTGCAGTGATATCGCGCTTCCTTGCGGAGGGCAAGTCGTTTAACGCTGCTGCGATGGCTTGAACGATATCGGAGGTAATGTCACGTTTGACGCTAATATTGCTCAGCACAGAGCTACCTTCTTGCAGGATAGCCTGGAGCGCGGCAGTGATGTCTGCAGTGATATCGCGCTTCCTTGCGGAGGGCAAGTCGTTTAACGCTGCTGCGATAGCTTGAACGATATCGGAGGTAACGTCACGTTTGACGCTAATATTGCTCAGCACAGAGCTACCTTCTTGCAGGATAGCCTGGAGCGCGGCAGTGACGTCTGCAGTGATATCGCGCTTCCTTGCGAAGGGCAAGTTGTTTAACGCTGCTGCGATGGCTTGAACGATATCGGAGGTAGTGTCACGTTTGGAACCAAGCGACAGACTTTCCCCTGGCAGGATCACTGTCCCTATCCGGGGAGTGGCGAAACCGTTGCGTACAGATGTATCGACGACCGTATTGTCATCCGTTGACGATGTATCCTGTCTGGAAGTGATTCGATGGAGACTGCAAATGCATTCAGTGGGTCTACTCAATGATTGTTTTCGAGGAACGTACGAGTATGGGGCAGGCGCTGCAAGACTTGGGACGGTCGAGGCTACGACGGCGAGAGCAACAAGGGCAGCAAAGCGCATGATAGTCTTAAATGAGTGAGGCTCGTAAAAATTTGGAAATAAACGGCGGGTGGAGGTATGTGAGAATGAGAAGTTAATAGCTGAATGAGAGTGTACGAAGTTTTCAAAAACAATAGGCTGTAACATGGTGAAGTTAGTAGAAGGCAATCGGATGGGATAAAATGAACGTACTGCCTGCACCTGGGTGAGCCGTGAAAGCGAAGGAAGTAAGAGGGCTGAGGAGTTAGCAGCTGAAGTGCACGCCTTTTAAACAGGAGAAGATCATAGCTGACGCATCAGGTTGTGCCTCCTCCCACAGGTCATAGGGCCCTACGCGTTTCAGTAGTTGGATACACTCCTTGAAACTTACCTGTGCTGCGTTGATACCGTGACGTTTGTCGAATGATGAAGTAGCTTGAAGATGGACATCCGCTTTAGGATGCTGAAATGTTGACGCGGCACTGAGCTATATTGACCCGGGATACAGCATGGGTGAGACTTAACAGGGGGCGGACGCGACAAAGATGAAGCTTGACTGTCCGACACAGCGGGGATGAGCAAATAACCAGCATCTGCAGAGAAGTAATCGACTGGACTCCGCCTAAGTGCACCTGTGGAGTCAGAGTCCAGATCACGATTAGAGTCAATAGAGACCGCTCAGAGGTTTGTGACATGCTACAAGGTGGTTCATCCTCCCTGGTATAACTCCATATACGACAAGTACCTCACCGAGAATAAGATTCTAGTGTTTCAAGCATTGATGCATGATGTTGCATGGTATAGAAAAGTTTGTGCCTGGCCATTCTTGAGTCACGCGTACGCGTGACATCTACTCCCCTCATAACATTTGCATTTCAATCGACATCCACAACTCTGCAGGAGTCTGGACGTCGGCAGCAAAGGACTTGTTAACGAAAAACATATTCATATAGTATGTGCACGGTCTGAAGCTTAAGTTCGAGCTGATTGATTCAGATTGACTCGGATCAGTTTTTTCTCAGCGATTTGATCAACGATCAACGATTTTATATTGGCCAGTGACTACTATCAGTGATCGCGCGCACGCCCGATCAAGTTGACTTATAAGTCACAATCTTGTTTCGAAATTGCATATCCGACCAGATGTGGTCATCTCGATGGTCCGAATGACCTCGATCCCAGTGAGCCCATTGTCGAGTTTGGACCTTGTCGCGTTCGTCCTTCACGTGCGAACTGGAGTCTCGGTAACTCAATAATGCACATACACTCGTTGGCTGGACTATACGAATGATGTACCGAAGCCCATCAAAATCTGGGCTTGACGGAGGCATTGCTCGAGTGGGGGCTAGAAATGCGGTAGTAGTTGAATATTGTTACAAATATATCTAAATGCGATGTATGCGGGACAGAAAAGACAGTCAACTATTATTGAAGATGCAGGGCAGAGTAGGGACAGAGGTAACTCATCATCCAGGAGGTCCATGTCATTATTAATTTGCCGGACGGCGGTCTCCTTCAAAGCGGCGAGTTGTTACAAGATATGAGCATCTCCTAGAAGCAGTAGTGGTGCAACAAAGCTTATGTATCTTGATACGATAGCCTCGGCGACTTTGAGACAGGAAAATCTGGGAGTTCATACAGCAACGTCAGTTGCCTGCAAGTCCGAATCTATCACGTCTCCTACTGATAGCTGCAGGCCAGCCGGCAGCAAAGTGCGACATCTCACGAGTGCAATCTCTTGAATACGAGTACTAAGAGCCCCTTTGCCAGCACTACGAATGAGTGGTCAGCCATATTTCAGCCAGGTTCGCAGTTAAAAGGACAAACATCAGACGTGTGTGAAGCCGAGCCGTCTTCTTCTTGCTTGTGGTTTTCCTGTTGTTCCTGAGTTATGGAAGTCAGTTTATGCGAGTATGTAGCACAGCCGTATAAGAGGATCATAGCCGATGCATCAGATTGTACCTCCTCCCACAGGTCGTAAGGTCGTATATGTTTCAGTAGTTGGATACACTCCTTGAAACTTACCTGTGCGGCGTTGATGCGTCTGTTAAATGATGTGTAGTTTGATGATGGGCATCCGCTTCCTACATTCCAGAATGAATATAGGTCGACGGATAAAAAGGCCTGAATGAATATTGAAACTTTGAAGACATCTGAGTCGGTGGTTCAACCGGAACTTGAAGCAAAGACTGCCGTTGTCCGGAGCAGCCCAGATGGCGCAGCATGGCTAATGTTTGTAGCTGGCATCAAACGATCAAATTGAAGAAAATAAACATTATGATATAAGGGTTGGTGAAACGATGATCGTTTCCTATCGTTACCGTGACTGACTCGGGCGTCGAGATTCAATTGATGTTTAAATTGCGCACGGCGCAAGCCACCGCGGCAAGCGCTGGCCTCCTTGGGACGGCAATGCTTGACTATGATACATCATCAATGCATCATCCCTGATCATTCTACTACCCAGTGATTTATGAGTCCACATCTGCGACCCGCAGATAGATGAAATTAAATACCAGTAGAGACTCGGACACAGAATAAAGCTGCGTTATTCTTCCGAATTCATTAGAGTAGGATCTGAAGGTTCGAGTGGCATAGTTCTGAGAGTGCGTGAAAGAGCCGAGTAAAACAGGTTCTTAACAATATTCAAAATTTGACACCATACTAATACCACTGGCATAGTGAGTGCCAGTGCTAGTGCACTGCTAGTAGTAGTACTTGACTGAGGTTGATTTGCACTTGTTTGACATGACCTTTAGCTTTCAATAAGGCAAGACAACGCCAGAACGCGACAAGTCTAAACTCTGCCTGAATGCTATTCTGCCGCAAAATTCCAACCAGGACTCCCATTTACATCTCATGTAGATCACGATTACCTGCTCTGTGTCGATTTCTCTCTACAGCCACTGATACTTCCGCAAGCAAGCCATTCTACATCACTACACCAATATTCTATCCGAACGCAGGTGTCTACTCCGTTTCCTCCATAACTCCTCAACTAATGTCTCTCAGTTCCGCACATAGGCCATCTGTACTCCCTCGTCACCGCTGACATATTTGCTCGCTTTACGCGCATATCTGAGCCGGACCGACTGGTGCACTTCCTGACAGGAACAGACGAACATGGTTTAAAAATACAAAAGGCCGCCAAGGACCGCGGAATAGAGCCTTCTGTACTCTGTGATGCTCTCAGCGAGCAGTTTCGTGTGTGTCCCAGTTTATCTCTTTTCAAACTCATTGACACAAAATGTATTGCAGAGGCTTGGTAATCGTGCCAACATCAGTAGTACAGTATTTTTGCGCACGACCGAAGCTAGACATAGAGAAGCTGTGGAACACGTTTGGGTGTGTATATTTCTTATTAAATACCCGACGTTCTCAATTCATACCACGTAGCGCACTCTTACCGCACAAGATCTCATCTATAAGGGCACATATTCTGGATGGTACTCCATTTCTGATGAATGTTTCTATACCGACAGTCAGATCACTTATCTGCCCTCCTCTCTAACTCCTGTCTCTATTGAGACTGGCTCTGCAGTTGAGTGGTCCAGCGAGTCAAACTACAAGTTCCGTCTTTCCGGCTTCCGGGAACGTTTGTTAGACTACTACACTACCAATCCGAAATCATTACACCCCTCAGCTCACAGAGAAAGGCTGATACAGACCTTGAAAGATGAACCTCTTGATGACCTGTCAATTTCACGACCGCGGGAGAGATTGAGTTGGGGCATTCCCGTTCCGGGCGACATGTCACATACTATGTATGTGTGGTTCGACGCACTGACGGTGTATCTCACTGGAGTTGGATTTCCTGCTGAGCAGCAAGGATCACTGTGGCCTCCGAACATCCAGGTCATTGGGAAGGATATTGTTCGGTATGTCTCGTTGTACGCCGGGCTTCATTAATAATACCTGATACCGGAATCAAGTTTCCATGCTTTGTATCTCCCTGCTATGCTCCTCGCGATGGGAATGCCGCTCTCGCATACACTTCTTGCGCATGCACACTGGACAGCACAGCAGCGCAAAATGTCGAAGTCTATAGGCAATGTAGCGGATCCATTCGATGCCATGGATACGTGGGGTGTGGATGCCGTCCGATTTTACATGGCACGCGTCGGTGGTCGTTTCAGAGACGATGTTGGTACGGCTATTTACCTTGTTCTTTCCCCGCGTATTTATGAAGGTTATTTGACTTCCAAGATTGGTCTCCTGAACAACTCGAGAAGCACGCGGACGAAATCCGTAGTTTGCTCGGCAACTTCTTCTTACGCATCACCTCGAGAACAATCCAGAAACGTGTAGCGTCTGTGCCTCAACTCACGTTTATTCAGCTCCTTGATCAGTCCCTCGATGGCCCTAACGGTGACGTGCTATCATCGCTACGTAACCTGAAGGGAAGAGTTGAACAATGTATGGAGAAGTTTGAGGTGGGGGATGCGCTTGATGCCATCATCCTTGTCCTTCGAGAGGTACGCAGTCTTGTTCATTTCGTGTTTAACCCCGCTGACGAACTTCCAAGGCGAACGGCGCATTAACACACACCGCGCCCTGGTCAACCCAAAGTCCGCCTGAGGCCGCACAAGTGACCTATCTTCTCTCGCTCGAAGTTCTACGGGTTACTGGTATATGCTTGCAACCCTTCATTCCAGAGGCTGCGCGGAATCTATTGGATGCATTGGGTGTTCCGAAGGCAGAGCGGAACATGGATGCTGCAGCTTTGGGTAAGGGCAGGGTCGGGGAAGTGAAGGGTGTGAAACTTTTTGAGGGCAAGAGAGAGATAGCCAGCGGGGGTCAATAATTGTCTGCTGTGTAAAGCCAAGAACACGTGTTCGTCTACATGAGTGAGAGTACGCGTGCGCGCTCGATGCCATCACAGTGCACACCCCATCTACGAATGCCGTCGTACGGAAGGCTCCGGAGCTCGAAAAGTTTCTTTCGAACAATATCGTGATGACCACTTCTCTGCTCGTTCCCCAACACGTTGCATATATCAGAGCTCTTGGAGATGTTGGTTCTTCTCTTACTCAGCGAACTGATCTCTGAGCTTTCAAGCAGAGCAAACATGAGCTGTCCTATCATCTCTCGGCTCACCTAAAGATAAACGCAGTATACTGGTCCCTGACTGCTCTTTTGATCATGGGACGTGGGGACGCGTTGGATCGCGATGAGATGATAGAATTCGTTATGAGCTGCTGGGATGAAGAGGCAGGTTTGTTCCCATCGAGAGATCCATGCCATCTCGAGTTCACAATCCGCAGGTGCTTTTAGCGCTCATCCTGATCATGACGCACACCTGCGTTCTACTCTCAGCGCAATACAAATTTTGTTGATGCAGAATGCGCTCAATAGAGTTGATGTTGACCGTGTTGTGAACTGTGCCTTGTTTATCTATTGTCGAATGGTTTACATCACTGACATGGCTCAGACATCTTATCTTTGCAGCAACCTTCCGGAAGTTTCGCAGGCGATGCCTTTGGCGAAACTGACACGCGTTTTTTGTATTGTGCAGTCAATGCTCTCTCGCTTCTCGGCAAGCTTGATAAGCTGGACGTTGAGAAAACGGTCGCTTATATCAGGCGTTGCAGGAATTTCGATGGTGGATTTGGAGCTGTTGCAGGTGCAGAAAGCCATGCTTCACGAGGTGAGCATTGCAACACAAATGATTTCGGAACGTTGGAGCGCCATAGTATTTGTTTGCGTTGCGGCACTCGCTATTCTGGACAGATTGGATGAGGTCGATCAGCCGACCCTGTATTGGTGGTTATCGGAGCGACAACTTCCGAATGGAGGACTTAACGGACGCCCTGAAAAACTGGAGGATGTGAGTTTCTGTGCACATGACTGCCCTGCAGTGTTCCTGATTCTCTGTTTACAGATTTGTTATAGCTTCTGGGTGTCATCCGCCCTTTCTATCCTTGATAAGCTTACATGGATAGACTCAAGTGAACTGGAAGCATTCATTCTCTCTGCGCAAGCCGAGTCAGGAGGTATTGCCGACCGCCCGGGCGATAGGCCTGATGTCTTCCATACAATATTTGGCTTGGCCGGTGCGTAAGGTGTTCCAATATCAGAACCAACCTCGGAACCGTCTTCTTGACAGGTCTGTCATTATTGGGATACCCGGCACTAGTGGACCTTGACCCAGTGTACTGCATGCCTGCGAGTATCATTGAAAATCTGGGTCTCAGGAAGGGGTGGAAGGCTTTGCAGAGAAGAACTTCATGATTTGCGTTTGGATTGAGGTTACATATATTGAGGAATTTACTGGAAGAAGTGAGCAGAGTTTGAAAGCAGAATCAGTATAGTATTTGCCTGAATTGTGGGCAAATTGCGGGTATGATACAGCCTACACGTGTATTAAAACAGGTTGCGAACCGCATTGGTGATGGAATCAAAATAACTAATCACATTCTGGATCATGACTCCTCTAATGAAGTAGAATAAGGTATAAAAGTACTACAGCTGTGCCTACACACTGGGCGGCGGCGGCGCTGAGGAATTAATCAGCACGAGGACGCATGATGGACACCCGAAATCACTCACGGCAGCAATAGTTCTCCAGCGGGTCGCAATGTTGGTCTTCGGGGCACAGGATCAAGCAAGGCGAATCTACAGATGTCTGAAAATCCATCAGTCCTAACCGACCAACAGCATGCACGTGGCGTACTTTCAGATCATCCTCACTGGTTATAGCAGGACGGTAATGGTATTCCGGCTGAATAGTGCTAGAATGAATGCCGTTCAGATGCAGAGCCTTGCGTATGTCCGCAGCGATAGGCATGAAATCGTGATTCCTCGAGGCCATGACGTGTACAGATGCGACGATCTTGGATTCTGAGAGTTGCCAGATGTGAAGCTCGTGTACTGATAGGACGCCGTCTACTTTCAGGATGGAATCGCGCACGTCTTCGAGCGATACAGTGTGTGGGACTCCTTGGAGTAAGATGAACGAGGCATTCCGAACTGGAGTGGAATGAATTAGCGTCTCCGCTTTAGAACACAGCTAGACGTGTCATACCTAGAGGTAATGCAGATGTGAAAATAATAATAGTGATGACGATGCTGACTGCAGGATCGAGGTAGAACCGACCACTCCACTTAGTGAGCCAGATAATGAGACCTGTCACAATCACACCAATGTTTCCGAGAGCATCACCCATGACGTGAAGCATTAGGGCGCGCATATTCATTGACCCATGTGAATGACCGTGATTGTGACTGTGGCCGCTCGGAAGTGGGGCCTCGATCGTGAAGGATTCGATTTTGTCTTGCTTGCTATCGAGAGGAGTCTCTATAATGTTTATTTCTACTGAACCGTCAGGAACCATCCGGATAGAACGAGATGATGATGAGGCGTTTCGCTGGTGTGAACTAGGGGAAGCTATGGCAATATCCTGCGCGGCTTGTGAAACTGCAGCTCGGGTAGCGGCTGGGTGTCCGTACATCGAGGAGTAAGATCCTGTGCGACCACGAACTGTGGTCGATGAGTCCTGAATGGGTTTGTCGTCGATGGCAGTGTGCGTTGCATGTGATACATGTACATGGTTGATCTCCTTGTTGCCATGAGAATGACCATGCGAATGAGAGTGACCATGTTCTGAGATATGGATGATGAATATGACGAGGTAGTTGAAATAGTGCGACAGTACCATGGAACAAGAGAAATCCGAAAATATTTGAGGCCAGACCGCAAGATCCCACTATAACCACGAGAAGTGGATGCGATACATCTTGATGGTAGGGTAGTGGTGAAGGTATGTATGAAATGGTTGTTGAACTGACCTTCAATATTAAAGAAGCGTTCCACTGCCTGCAAACTAACGGAGAAACACAATGCAAGTAGGAAAACACCATTGGTTAAAGCTGCAAGGATTTCGGCCCTTTGCCAGCCATAGGAGTAACGAGAATGGTCGGCGGTCTTTCCTGTTAACTGTTACATATGATTAAGACATATGTTCACTAAATAAAGACCGGGTTTGGGTCGAACCTTGATAGCATACAAAGCGACAACCAAACTCATCACATCACTACCAATGTCATTCATATCATGTGGTAGAAATGAAGGTTGACACTTACTTGAGCATGTGGAAACTATCGGTTACGAGAGCCAGGGAACCGACAACATAACCTGTTGATGGGTGAATTTAATCATTGACCAAAGTGATAGCTAAAGATGTGACTGACCGACGACGAGTTCCAAGAAGAAGAATAGGATATCAATGACAAGCAAGAGTGTGATGCGAGCTGAACGAGATAGCGCCATTGTGATTTATACCCAGGGTCCTTGGCAAAGCACTGGCAGGCAGTAGAGAGAATGAGAGAGGGATTTAAGTAGGAAGGGGTGTCGAGCTTGGAAGTACTTGAACAAAGGACAAAGAACAGTATTGGAATTGTGCTCTAACGTCACAGTTTCAAAGGGCCGCTACTAGCATTATTACTTCGCCTCCTGACTCGGACACGAAGACCGGATATATCAGTCACGAGTAAACCGCGTGTCCACTACCTCATAAAATTCAGAATGGCAGGACGCGGATCTCCGGCGGGACATTCAATTCAGTGCGAATACGGGTGGGTTAACTCAACAGGACTTGACATCATGATGCCGGCGTGCATGCGGATCATGGTGCTTAAATCTATTTCTAGTAATTCTCAGGGGGGTCGAACTCAAAAATCACGCAGTCTACACGTGGGGACTGTACCCTGGACTAGGGCGTAGACTTGGAGGAGGTCCTTATCGATGTGGCGTGAGCATGCAGAAGTTCATCAGACCGATTTTATGGAAAGTGCGAGATATTTGCTTCTGGAAGTACAGGCTTACCGTTTGGAAGGGAATCTATTAATATGGGATTCAGAAAAGTCTGAAGCTGAGCCTTACCGTCTCGGTCATCGATTTGAAACGTTTAAACATCATTGATCCATGACACCGAGTACTGGTATGCGTCCAGGGATCACTTCCTCATCACGCTTTTGTGGGGAAAGTTCCGCGGAGGGAGTGTGCTAGATAGGCGGCAAGGCCTATACCCAACAGGCAGTAGATATACCCAATATTTCGGTACCTGCTATGTATTCAGTTCCCATAACAAGTCGAAGACATGATTGAATTGTCACTCACAATTCGACGATGCTCTCCGATCATCGTGGGTGCCCGGGATTCTATTGTACCTCAACGTTGGATAAGTTCATCCATGTTAAGTTGGTGTGAGTTGTTGACAACACGTCGATACCGAGGAGACTACCGCCGATGCACTCTAGTAAATCTATATCGCCAGCAGATGTCACCGCGGTGCCGGAGTTGAGATACTGGTTAAATTTGAAAAAAAAAAACGCGTAGCACGTGACTCGCCACGGCTGGGAATCCTTCTTTGGTCACCTCCTGTCCAGTGTCCACACCCTCTGTAACTCTTTCCGACTTGAATTAGTTTTCCACAAAACCCTCTCCTAGATGCTTTCTCTCCCTTCGCAGTCGTAGACACCTAGAGATGCCCTCGGGAACGCCCTATGCCTCATTTGCACTCCCTTATCCCATCCGTGTTGATTGTTTCACATGCACAGCTCATCTTCCAGCTCCGTACAACACACCCGCACTATATCTCCTCACCCACTCCCATACCGACCACATTGTCGGCCTATCTTCAAAATCATTTGCTTCACGGGTACTATGTTCGCCTGATACAAAAGAGATGCTCTTGAGGCATGAGATTTATCCGGAGCGCGCAAAGAAATATGCAGGTGAAGTTGCAATGAGGACGTTTGCTCATTTGAAACTTGAGGGTGGAGCATTTAGTAGGGATTTGTTGGTGAGTCCGAGAGTTCTTTTCACGCTCATGTCCTGTCCTGATACATTTAAATTGGCATAAAGCACGCAGTTCCATTGAATACTCCAACCGAATTTGAGTTATCGCCCACTGAGACGGTGATCATTACGCTCATCGATGCAAATCACTGTCCGGGTGCCGTTATGTGTGTTTTATTTCATATGTTTTCTCCCTACCGCTCATCCCTACACAATAGGTTCCTCATCGAAGGTCCTCGTGGGACGATTCTTCACACGGGCGACGTACGCGCCGAACATTGGCTACTAAAATCTCTAACTCGAAACCCGTTTCTCCAACCATACATCCCGGATACAGAGGAAGACCTCCGTGTTCTCATAGCGCGAGGTGGCCAAACAGCAAGCTTGACGAAAACACTACATGCGATCTATTTGGATACGGCGTGCATGTTGAAAGGAACTGTTGTTCCCACAAAGGTGATTATTCAAGATACTGTCAGACTAGTCAATGGTTTACGAACGTGAGCAGGAAAACGCAGTCAAAGGCCTGGTCGAGCTCATTGCGTTGTTTGATAAGGATACCAATTTCTTCGTAAACTCGTGGACTTGGGGATATGAGGACGTGCTCAAGGGTATCGCGCGGGCGTTCCAGTGTCAGGTAGGCAAACATCCATTTTTACGACTTCCAACTATTTGTTATGGGCGATCTTTTCGTTCGTTTTGGAAATCATTGCAACTTGTATTTAACTGTTCTCGTCTTGCCATGGCACATATATGCGCTTACATGCTGCTTGCATTCTCCTTTTCACTGTGTTCCGTGCTGCTTGATATGTTACCTGCCGTGTCATCTCTGCCATTACACGTAGGGTCCTGTTTTATTGACACATCTACATTTCCAGATTCATGTCGATCAATACAAACATGCGGTCTACACGCATATATCGGACCCCTTTCTTCGTATGCTGGTCACTCGCGACGCGACAAGCACTCGCTTCCATGCTTGCGAACGGTTTAAGCGGTGTAGTTTCGTAGATGTACCCAGGTATGTTATTCCATCTTCTATTAATCGACTTCGCTCACCAATGGCATATTGTAATTACCGTCGTGTTCGTTAACTTATCTGTGATGGTTTACGTATGGCAAAACTTGCTACGTGTATTCACTGGAATCAGATTCGACTTCAAGAATGATTTAGCGCCACGGAGCATCGAGGAAAGGAAGGTCGTATACATCAACCCTGTCACTATGGGATGCGCGCAGTGGGAAGGCTATTGTATGGATGTACGAAGACGTCTTGCGATGGGGAAGGATATTGATCGCTTGGTCGGTATCACGCAATTTCTCACCCTTCATCTGTTCCTCCATTGTTGACTTCAGTTGATACAAGACACTGATTTTGGCATTCGTATAGCTCGTGCCTCTCGAACGACATTCTCCCTTACCAGAACTGCTC